TGAATGACAAGTGAGGTCGTGACCTGAATGACAAGTGTGGTTGTAACCTGAATGTCAAGTGGGGTTGTGACCTGAATGTCAAGTGGGGTCGTGGCCTGAATGACAAGTGGGGTCGTGGCCTGAATGACAAGTGTGGTTGTAACCTGAATGTCAAGTGTGGTTGTAACCTGAATGTCAAGTGGGGTTGTGACCTGAATGTCAAGTGGGGTCGTGACCTGAATGACAAGTGTGGCCGTGACCTGAATGTCAATTGGGGTCGTGACCTGAATGACAAGTGTGGTCGTGACCTGAGTGTCAATTGGGGTCGTGACCTGAATGACAAGTGGGGTCATGACCTGAATGAAAAGTGGGGTCGTGACCTGAATGTTAAGTGGGGTCGTGACCTGAATGACAAGTGGGGTCATGACCTGAATGACAAGTGTGGTTGTGACCTGAATGTCAATTGGGTTTGTGACCTGAATGACAAGTGGGGTCATGACCTGAATGACAAGTGGGGTTGTGACCTGAATGTCAAGTGAGGTCGTGACCTGAATGTCACCTGAATGTCAAATGGGGTCGTGACCTGAATGTCAATTGGGGTTGTGACCTGAATGTGACCTGAATTACAAGTGGGGTCGTGACCTGAATGTTAAGTGGGGTCATGACCTGAATGTCAAGTGAGGTCGTCACCTGAATGTCACCTGAATGTCAAGTGGGGTCGTGACCTGAATGTCAATTGGGGTCAGGACCTGAATGTCAAGTGGGGTCATGACCTGAATGACAAGTGAGGTCAGGACCTGAATGTCAATTGGGGTTGTGACCTGAATATCAAGTGGGGTCGTGACCTGAATGTCAAGTGGTTAACCTGATGGTTAACCATTCACTGGTTACACTGAAGGCCTGCATTTGATTATCGACTTGGGTGATCTCAATCATGATACTGCTGGAATATTGCAAAAAAATGCATATAAATCAACTCACACACAACTAATTTCCAGGACATTTCTAGAAGTGTGTTCAGTCCCTGACTGGAACATTGTGAAGGCAGTCTCGCCAGGGTATTTGTGGATGAAGGACAATCAGAAACTACATACAGCAAGAACAGGACACGGAAAATGTAGTGAATCACAACATCCAACAGTGTGCACAGGAAATGAAACTTGCACATCACCAAACGAAAACCATGCAAAGAAAGGACACAACCAAAAATGAAATGAAAACAGCACAAAAGATGGTAACAGGCCAAATAACATGCAGTGAGTAAAGGATCAGTCAGAAGGCCACTGACATGAAACTGATGAAGCGTGCAATGTAGTAGGCAATGGGTAGCTGAGATGCATGACTTACTGATCAATACATGACTTACTGACCAATACATGACTTACTGATCAATACGACTTACTGTTCAATACATGACTTACTGATCTATACGACTTACTGTTCAATATGATTACTGATCATATATTACTTACTGATTAATACATGACTTACTTATCAATACGACTTACTGTTCAATATGACTTACTGATCAATACATCTTACTGTTCAATACGATTTTCTGATCAATACGACTTACTGACCAATACATGACTCACTGATCAATACGACTTACTGTTCAATATGATTACTGATCAATACGACTTATTGTACACTTTCGATGTAGGTTCTAACACTGTTATCGAGCAAGTGATCACTTATTAGAACCTACACTGAAAAGTCGCTTCTTATTGTAATAAGGAAGTTGTTCATCCATATATCTTATCCTTACTTAGTTAGAAGCCTGTTCCCTTTGATCTTGTCTGAAACTTATCATTCCTAACACTGAAATTATCTCAAAAATATTTCTGCCTGTCCATACATGAATAAATCTTTACAAACTGGATGTACTGGTCACTGATCCTTGTTCTCCCACAGTGAAAGTATTGTGGGTGGTGGGAATGTACATCAGTCTAGATGCAACTCATGCAAGTATCAGCCAGGCACCAGAGCAGGGGAGGATGAATAATGATGATGAGGACTGGCATGTACCCCGGGTACCCATCAGGGAGCTTGTCTGAACAGTCTAGATGCAACTCATGCAAGTATCAGCCAGGCACCAGAGCAGGGGAGGATGAATAATGATGATGAGGACTGGCATGTACCCCGGGTACCCATCAGGGAGCTTTTCTGCACACAGGAAATTCAGTCCCAGAAATTACAGACGGCAATGGATACTGCCATATTATAGAACCAAGAGACGCCCTAAATCTTCAATTTTTAAAATATATTTATGACAAGATTGTTTTTCTTCAAGAATTCACTTCATGAGCAATGCCAAATCGGAAGAAGAGAAGTCTCACATATCAAGGGAAATTGATTTTGTATTTTTGATAGTTGGCAAATTGTATCCCAAATTATTTGACAGACTTTCTCCCAGTTGAGTGCCGGAGTACATGCATCCTCATCACCAAGTGGTGTTAGAACCCAAGCAAAGACTGGACTGAGCAACACGCAGTAGTAATTTCCAAGCATCAGACAAGAGTCATTACAACAGGGAACCTGAAGAATGTCTGATTGTGACAAACAAGGGGAAGTAACTGCAGTTGGTCAAAACAAGAACTATTTGAATAGCAACCCTTGGAAATCTTTACTTACTTATAAAAACACAGCTTAAAGAGATTTTTGTTGAAGTGAAACTTTGGATTTTCAAACTCTTTTTAAAAAATTATATTAGATTAAGATGTTTTTTTAACTGTAATTGATATCTTGTTAATAATAAGATCATAACAAGCTTCATTTTTTAAATCTGCCAAATTTGACGTGAAAAGTAATAAAACATAAAATCAGTCTGGTATCCTAAACAAATTTGATCAAAATTTGGAAAACATCAATATTGATAAAGGAATGTGTCACAGAGATTTCTAAAAAATGTTATTGTGCAGAACAGTCACAAATCTGTTAAACAAATATTTCAAGAAGGCTTAAAAAAATAAAAGAATTGGTTCTCAGGCAATGTTTTTTTAAACAAAAGAGCTGGCGGGTAGTGCCTTTATTTTCTTTTTTCTTTTTGTTCAAATTAGTAGGTAACCAAATAAACAGTTGTGTAACCAAATAAATAGTTGTGTACAAACTACCTTGGAAGGGGCCTGCCTACATAAATATATTCTTTGATGTGTAAAATACTGGAATACAGAATTTTACCACCGTTGGACTTGGAATATTTAAAGATATTTTTGTTCGTTTTTTAAAATGGAAATAAAAACGAAACGTGTGGCGAACTTTATGATGAAGCAGGCGATGCCTGAAAACCAAGACTTTTTCTTTAGCCTAATGTTGATCTGAAACAGGGTTGATATTCAAATGACGTAGGATTTCAATGCAAACTAGAACTAGACACTGTATACAAACCCAGTCACCTCAACGTTCATATTGCTCTGTACAGTCCATCTTTGCATTGGAAACAGCAGGGAATTGACTCAAATATCACCCGACAAACATTCGCGAAAAAAACAAAAGATGAGAAATGACGACAACATTCACCATGGGAAATGATGGGAATTTGTTCCACCTTGAGAAATGACGGAAATGTTTCACCTTGGAAAATGATGGGAATGTTTCACCATGGGAAATGACGGGGATTTGTTTCACGATGTGAAATTATGGGAAATTAGTTTCACCATGGGAAATGATGGTGATTGGTTTCACCATGGGAAATGACTGTGATTGGTTTCACCATGGGAAATGATGGGGATTGGTTTCACCTGGAGAAATGACGAAAATGTTTCACCATGGGAAATGACGGTGATTTGTTTGGTGGCAGCTTGTGTGATGACATGCCATACAGAACTGAGGGAGGTGAACACGAACCACAGAACACAGAGTATTGTCGATGTTTTCTTGTCAAAACATATAACTACTTCTAATAATAATCTAATCACAGCTTATATCCATATTTTATCATGTCGTATTCTTGCTTAAAGTGGAAATAAATGTTATAATGCATGTTTGTGTTTTTTTAAATTTCCCAAACCTTACTTCTAAAATCCTACAGAACAAATTGGAGACATATCAACCTAAGTCTCCCATGATATATTTGTTTGACGATGTCATAGTATAATTTCTCTTCATGAACAAAGTTTGAAAAAATAACTGATTCAGTCAGTTCCTATGTCTTCTGTGCCTTGACAGAAAAAAGTATACACAAATTACGAAGCTGAACCACATGTAACATTCCACCGACAGCACTTCCCCGTAACCACGACAACCAATAGGTTGTGCATGAACACTGGGAATGACTAATATCATGGATTATGGTAATACCATATAAAGGCACTTTGCAAACATTGTTTTCAGTACAATAAAATAATGGTTATTCCACAATAGAGGGGTGGTGTCTGAGTAAGCTGAAGTGCCACTGAGTTATCTCCCTTGGCTGCTGGGTTTGAATCAGTTTCAGCCCCATTAGAATCAAACTGGCAGCTCAGGATTCCCAAAACTTGTATACTGTCTTGATACAGATAGATACCATTGGAGATCAATAATGATATTTACCATCCACACCAATTAATTGTGCCCCCATTTCATTAATCGCATGAGCTGTAGCAAAATCTTATCACAACCGTTTCAGCAATTGAACTGAATTCTAATCAACACAGAAATCCAACTAGAAAAATGCATTGTTTCATTGCAAAGCGTTAATGACCTGCTTCAAAGCAGAAATTTTAGATAATGTCCTGGACATAGAGAAAGTCAGATAAGTATAAAAAGTATTTTCTCTAAAGAAAAGAATAAGCATTGGTATACGAGTAATGGCGCATAGGATGTGAACGACTTCCTGGGAGCAGAACTCACGTATCACAGCAGAAACAATAAACACAATCCAAGACGGCACTAGGTCGCAATTCAAGACAGCACCAGGCAACTATCCAAGACAGCACCAGGCAACTATCCAAGACAGCGCCAGGCAACTATCCAAAATGGCACCTAGTGACAATCTGTGGTACATCTGGATACCGAGAATCATTTCAAACCTTGAGGCCTACCTGCTGAAGTTGTTGCTGAAGCAGAGACACCTGGTGGGCTAGTGTTTGCGTTTCTTGTGTATAGTCATGTGAAGACTTCTCGGCCGTCGCTTTGAGTCGCGAGGTCAGCTGTTGAATGATGAGGTCCCTCTGTGCCAACGCTGAATGCAGATCACCTAGATGTACCTGGAAAATGGATTTTATGCTTTTAACAAAGTGTGATAGACTTAGTCCTAACCCAAGCAATTCTTGTGTATAGAGTGATGAATGTAGTTTAACACAGACCAAGAGGATGTTAGTGTATTTGCAGTGTTTGATTGGCAGCAAATCATGGAAGCCCTGTCGATGGCTGTTGGGTTTCACCTCCCTTGGTCGATGTAAACAAACATGACAGATTTGATCATTAAAAGATTTCTGGATGGGACTGTTCTGGAAGGCTTGCTGTACCTACATAAGAGCAATGTGAGGGCTATTTGAAGCATGTTTGGACCTGACTTGCATCATACCTACTTGCCAAGTGCAGATTGGATACCTATCTCAAAAACACCAAATATATGCCAGCTTACAACGCTATTCGGGATTCAAGAACAGAGTCAGGTTTGCTTTGAGAATGCTTTGTAATCAAAATGTGAATCTAATCCTTACCCTTGGTTCAGCGACGCCCCCTCTGCCTTCTGCTATGTTGTTTTCCATGTCTACATTGTCCGGTGTTCGCTGTGAACATGGATTGATTACATACAGGGAAGAGAGAGAGAGACACATGTAACTATGGTAACATCTGTACAATGGTTGACAAACTATCGATTTCATTGTCAATTTCAAGCCTCACACACTTATAACTGGAACATGTTCTCAATTTCCATATCATCTACATCTGCTTGACATCCTAGAGAGAGGTTTGACTTCTTGACAAGTGCCTATCCCTTAGGAAGGGTAGATTCTGTGTTTGTTTGTTTGTTTGCTAAATAATCAAGTCTGGGCCAGACAATCCAGTGATTGACATCATGAGCATCAATCCACGCAATTGGGATGCGATGACATGCATGTACCAAGTCAGCAAGCTTGACCAGCAGATCCCGTTAGGCGTCTCTTACAACAAGCATAGTCGCCTTTTACAGCAAGGATGAGTTGCTGAAGACCTATTCTACCCCCGATTTTCACGGCCAGAATCTGTGTGTACACACATCGTCATCCATCATGGCCATAAATGCTGCAACACACTGACGTTAGCCATGTTACAGCTGCAGCACATCACCCTGACAGTACAGCCACCATCCCTGTGTAGATGACACACAATCAGCCAGGTCACACACTGTTCTCACTCAGTATTCCATAATTTCACCCATAATTTCACCCATACAACATTAAGGGTGAAACGATACACCGATATTCTGATGCATCGCGATACTTGACCCACGATACGATATACGATAAACGTAGGCCCATTTATCGATACGCCACGATACGGAATGCAAATCTCAAGTACAGCGTTTCCTCGCTATTGTGCCTTTCAATAAACCGCTAACTTGGTTTTAGCGTGCGGTAACGCATGGCTCCCAAAAACGTACTTACATTTTTAATAAGCTCAGGTTTTACACTGACAGATGTTTTTCCCAGTCTCAAAAAACATTATCAGCTGATCCCCGCAAGCACATAACAATCGAAATACCTGTCAGCAAATCCGAACTGAAGTACGCAATTCAATACCATTATCATACTATCTTGTTATTAAAACCTGTTCATTGTATATCTGGACTTGTGTTTGTAATATATTTTAATAGTTTTTTCAAAATTTCATTTAATATTGTTTTCATTAAGTTAGGTGAAATCATGTGTGAAGAGATATAGCAACCACGGTCAGATTACCGCTTTTGACGCATTGAAACGAACTTTAGTTGCTAGAGATTAGATACATATATTAAAAATGCCATACTTTGACTCGTTAAAAGTCATATTTGTGGCAATTTGGCTAATATATGTCAACATAACGTTTTCGCAATCGAAATACATGTAGCACGGGAAGTCCCTAGGGTGACTGGTCAAATTGTTCCGTGGGTAAAAATATCCTGCAACAGCAATCACCAGTACCAATATGCTACACTTGTGGTTCTTATAATTTTAAATATATATATAGTAAAACCTGCAACTAAGGTAACACGATATTGGAATATATTATTCCCAACAAAACAATAATTTCAGATACAATTTCTTCGACCATTGCATCAAAATTCTTTGATGTTGTATCACTGGTGGAGCACATTAATTATTGTCTGGTGTTTGAACTTTGAATTGTTTTTAGGAAAGTTAGAGAAAGTTCCACTTTGAAGCTGAACAACTTCAGTAGTCTTGTTATTATAAAATAATTTTGACTGTTCCAAAATCATGAAAGGTTCAATCTTGACATGCTTTAAGTCTTGTTTCTTTATCATTGCGTATCGAGATACGTATCGTATCATGACCAGAATATCGAGATGCGTATCGTATCGTGACCTTCCTGTATCGTTGCAGCCCTATACAACATCATGCAAGAAGCAAGGGGATCCTGATTTCTGATGGAGGTCCACAATCAGTGAAGTGATACACCGCAGTTACTGTATTTGCCTTAATAAGTGCCCTGGGGGCTTAAAAAATTGAGGGGGGGAGAGAGAGAGAATGTGCACTTATTTTAACCTAAACAGTTAAACTTGTCAAAATTTGAGGGGTAGCAAACAAACTTTGTTTAAATGTCAGTGAAAATAATTTTACAATAATGCATACAAGGCAATCATACATGTATTCGACACTGCTGTTGTCTGTAACAAATCTGTAAAATACACAAGCTAATACCAACTGTCATCTACATTTTGTGTTTTAGTAGTGGGCACTTGTTAAAATCATGTAAAGATTGGTATGGGAGGCAGTCAGGTGGCGCCTATTGGATCAGGGTGCTTAGTACGGTGAATACGGTAGCAATATTTCAGCTGTATCACAGTGGCCTGTAAATGATTAAGCTGGATCAGACACACCAGGGCTTGACTTCATTGACGGATGCTTCTCCCTCCCACTGCACGATTCATGCTTCTGAGTGAGTGAGTGAGTGAGTGAGTGAGTGAGTTGGGGTTAACGCCGCTTTTAACAGTATTACAGTCATATCAAGGCTTGTCAGCTTAATGTGGGAGGAAAGCCCAAAGTGATGCAGGTCTCAGACGTTTACCACTTTGGTGAAACCCACGAGCACGGGTATGGTGCTGACAAACCTAGAAACATAATCGGGGCGAACCAGAATTCGAACCCACAATCTCATTCTTCTGAAGGCGTATTTTGTGCAATATAGTCCTTGTGATAAGTTCCATGATAGACTGGCATATTATTTGTATGAATTAAGGAAGAAATCATATTTTCAAAATAAATACAAAACATTTTGGACATTTGGCAGTTATAATAAGGGTAACACTATTTTTCAGGGAATTATCAGTTGCAGAAGCCCAAGGTCTTCCATTAACTGCTAGACAATGAATGTCTCTGACCCACTTTTATAAATACATGGAAAATGTATGGAAACGTCCTAGAACAAACCAGATGACGTTACCTAACAATGGGCGTGATAATGGCCCATCATCAAACAATTTGAGGGCATCATCAAGTTACAGTGGCCCGCTCATTTCTGATAACAGCTATAATGAAAGGAAATGGAGCCCTGTTCTCTCCATGTTTCCCTGGAGGGGTGGAGCCTGACCTGTTGTTTGGGCTGCTGTCGGAGCTGGTCGTTCTCCTGCACCACCTTGTCCAGAGCGAGCTGCTTCCCTTCCATCATCTCCTCCAGCTCAGCAACTCGGCGCGTGGCATCCACCAACTTCGTCTGGTAGTACACGGAGGAGTGCATGTCCGCCTCCTGCAACCCCAGAACATCAGGGCGTGTCACTCACACAGTGTCATGTCACAGGGGTAGATGTAACAACAGATTCCCATGTAGCCAGCAGGGCTTGCTCCTTTCAAAAGTTACTGGCCCTTCTCCAAACTAACTGGCCTACAACTAAATGGTGGCGACCGTGAAGTGGCTGAACCTGAGGTCATGTAGCCACCGAGCAGGTCTCTAAATATTTTAGAACTACTAACCCTTAAAACGTTTTTCCTGTTCTCTGCGATTAAATCTTGACTCCCATTTGCTTCATTTCATGGTGATTCATACAAACGAAGAAGTTGTTGTACACAACATTACAAAATTTGCATGAGACAGCCAACTGGTTTTCTGTGTTAATATGCCACGCATGGTAAGACTTTTCTTTTCACATACCGTATTCGACGTAACAAGCGCCCAGGGCACTCTCGAAATAAGGAATAGGGGGCTCTTATTCGAATATTATTTTGGTGGAAAAACAGAGTTGAAAGAAAAATTTTGTGGTTTATGCTGACAGCCTGAAATGTTTATGTACGACAGATATGTTTTTCCAGTGTGTATTATACGCAAATAAATAAGTCCTGTGTACATTGATCAATTAGAAGGGGTGCTAATTGGGATTGTTCACTAGCCAATATATTAGCAAATATCGCCATGGGCGCTTATTAGAGTGGGGCGCTTATTACGTCGAATACGGTATTATTCAACAAGGGAGGAAACAGGACTTTATAGTCAGTTTCTTCCCTTTAACACCCCTAAACAAGCCTGACATTTAACCCCCTCTATTTAACATAAGATAAAGTGTTAGTGACAGATCAGTGCCATGCTGCTAGTGCCCAGAGCAGGTGCCCCTCCTGACCTACCTCTGCTGACCACTCCTCCCCGCTGTAGCTGACCAATGAGCCCTGGTCACTCTGCAATAAACAACACACAACATGCACATGCAAAAACATGCAAAACATGCCACACAACAACAGTGAGTGAGTGAGGTGGGTATTCCAGCTATAACCCGGCTTGGCAGGTTAATGTGGGAGGAAAACCCAAAGTGGTGCAGGTCTCAGACGTTTACCACTTTGATGAAATCCACAAGCACGGTGTGGTGCTGACAAACCAAGAAACATAATCGGGATGAACCAGGATTCAAACCCATATTTTCTGGCATGCCCAAGGGCCGCAACTCTGTTCAACAAATTACGGTGCCTTTGACAACTGGGCCACCCATGCCCCTTTAAACAACAGTAAAACAACAATGAAAAACAACAGTGAGAAAAAACAGCTGACCAACATTTGGACAAATAAGGAAACTGTGACTGATAAGTTGTATAATGATGGAGTCAGCTATATTCTGAAAGATCATGGATTATTGTTAAATAACTTAGGTTATTTAACTTTTAACATGGGTTATTTACAAATAAATTATTAGACCTTTCTCGTCCGCCTCAATACTAAACACCCAGCCTCACATCCGTTGATAGTCCCCAAGTACCTACAGAGGACGTAAATCGGCACTTGTGTTGCCATCTATCTTTATTTGATGAGTGAGTGAGTGAGTTTTATGCTGCTTTGAACAGTATTCCAGTTATATCATGGCGTGTCAGCTTATTGTGGGAGGAAAGCCCGAAAGTGGTGCAGATGTGAGACATTTACCTGGATGAAACCCACGAGCACGGGTATGGTGCTGACAAACCTAGAAACATAATCACTGCAAACCCGGATTCGAACCCACAATCAATGTCTGGCGTGCCCAGGGGCTGCAACTCTGCACAGCGAATCGTGGCACCTTAGACGACTAGGCCATCCGCTTTTTGTGATGAAATACACCACATACATCATCTATCAAACATTCCTGCTTCCTGTGAATCACACCTGGTGACTATTCATACACAGAGAGGCTTTGCAAGTTGAACAGTTTGTTTTCAAAATAATAAAATAAGATATAAGAATTAAAATGTCCCCATTCTCATTTTTCAAATATTTGGATAAAAAAAATTGATTAATTTGCTGTGTCCTTACAATGTATTTGTTCTGGAGTTTCCTTCATTGAAAATCCACTTAACAACAAATCTGTCCAATCTCATTAAAATCAGACCTTAGTTCTCACTACCGCTAAACAACGATCTTAAGAACGACCTTTCACCGGACCAATCAGAGAGTCGCTGACCAGATCAGGAAAGTGACAGTTGGAATATGTTTCCTAATCATGTAACTTTGAAAAGGTTAACACAGGGCATGCCGAACAACAGTTGCAGAATTGTACGAGTGAGTCCATCAAATTCATCGTCTATCTCTCGCTTCAATGGGATAAACATTTGAAAAGGAAGAGACTCTCCAAAGTCCGTTGGAAGACTGCCTTACATTGGCCATCTATTAAACATTCCAAAATTTTCAAATAGACGTTTTCAAATTTGGAATGAAAATTTTTCAAAGCATAGACTGAAATGGAAGTCGCCAGTGCCATGAAGCTGAAGACAGCTGCTTTCTGGTTGGGTGAGGTCGACTTCTCATTAGTCCTGATCAGTCCTGAAAGACACGATAAGTTCACGAGAGGTCGTCATGACATGACCTGTTATGGGATGTTCTCAGTTCTTGGCGTACTGGTAGCGAGCACTAGGATCTCATCTTGATGAGCATGGAAATCAGCCCCGCCTTAATTTGGGGTGAAATGACAAATAGGACAAAGAAATAAATATAAAAAACAAATGCCAAAATCAAAGTAACGTCAACATACAAAACATCGTGCATACACCAGTGCACACATTCATGCAACTACTTCACACCGGTTGAGTGTAACCATGGCAACACGTACATCTCCTGTGAGGGACTGCACATCACTACACGACGACGCATCAGCCATGTTGCCGCTGCGCTGGCTACTCGCATCGTCGTCCGTCGGCTTCCGTCTCTTCTTAGCTTTCTTCTTTCGGAACGCAGCCAACTGTAGAAAAGAGAAGCATTCTCGTATCAGCTGCTACACACACATTTAGACCCTCAAATAAAATATTTAATTTTCGGTTTAAATTGTCATTTGATTTATAATGGAAAGAAGTGCAGAGAACCTCCTCATTTTCTGAAACTGAAGAAATCTAGACAGGGTATACACAACAACTAATCCGTCTGAAAATTAGTGAAAATTAGTTGTTTTCAGACAAAATCTAGCTATACATAAACCACTAGTCTGAAACGAACTGCAGACCAGTTGGATTTGCTCACTGGTGTCTACCCACGTATCATCTTTACTGGGAACGTCTTGTGCATTGTTGTTTCAGAGACTCTCAGCCAACTAGGACTGCAGGGTATACTAGTATTCTGAAATACGTTTTTCAAACGATGCATATTGCAATATATTTTTCTGTTCTGGTATATCATGGTATATTGGGCTAAAAATATATATCAAGTTTTGATATCATTTGTATCGTTTAACCTGAAATCTACACGGACATTCATTCACAAACGATGTTTCCCTTCAAAATTGATTGACAGCAAAAGGCAGAAATGGGGAAGGGAATTGTCTCTCACATTGTTATCTCCCCTGTATCCATGACTACAAAATGGCAGGAGTGAGTGAGTGAGTGAGTGAGTGAGTGAGTATGGTTTTACGCTGCTTTTAGCAATATTCCAGCAATATCACGGCGGGGGACACCAGAAATGGACTTCACACATTGTACCCATGTCGGCAATCGAACCCCGGTTTTCGGCGTGACGAGCGAACGCTTTAACCACTAGGCTACCCAACCGCCCCCAAAATGGCAGGAACTTACCATACTGAGTGATATTTAGTCAGTGTGTAGAAAATAGCATCTGACTTTACAATCAGTGTGAATCACTGTCAAACACTTTAGCTCCAAATATATCACAATTCATTGCAGGCCTGTAACATAAACTGATTATTTACAGAATTTTGACAATAATCATTGAATTGTGACAATAATCACAGAATTATGACAATAACCACAGAACTATTACAATAATCACTGAATTGTGACAATAACAACTGAATTATGACAATAACCACAGAATTGTGACAATAACCACTGAATTGTGACAATAACCACAGAATTATGACAATAACCACAGAATTGTGACAATAACCACAGAATTGTGACAATAACCACAGAATTGAGAGAATAACCACTGAATTGTGACAATAACAACTGAATTATGACAATAACCACAGAATTGAGAGAATAACCATAGAATTATGACAATAACCACAGAATTGAGAGAATAACCATAGAATTGTGACAATAATCACTGAATTGTGACAATAACAGCTGCATCGCAACAATAATCACTGAATCGTGACAAGCCTCTGAAAACACAGGGTCCTATAATGAATAATAAATATTGCTTTCTGCCGTATCAGCAATTTTACAGCTACTTGAGGCAAGACTGGATCTTATAATCATGTTATTGGATCAAGGCCACCAATAATTGATGATTGTCATAAGAGAACGACATTTACTGTTGGGGCTGGGACTTTTACTGGAGACAGAATATTTAATGAGCCATCCAGTGGTAGAAAGTAACATTTTTAGTCCACTGGTCCTTATAATGATAACATATAGCAAAACCATTAATAATGGCAAATTTCTACCAGTCCTTATGGGTTAGAAATTGGCACTAGTCCTATAGTCCTTGCCAAACTGCCCAATAGTAAAGGTATCCTAAGGACTAGTAGAATTTTGACATTTTTAAAGGTTTTGCTATACGCTATCATTATAAGGACGAGTGGACTGAAACTGTTAGTTTCTACCGCTGTCCTTATGATACCTTAACTATTGGGCAGTTTGGCAGGACTACAGGACTAGTGCCAATTTCTAACGCTGCCATTGCATCAAGACACATAAACTTTACTCTGAGTGGACATTGATGGAGGAGCTAAACAATGCAGAAGTTTCCACAACATCTTGTCTGGCCAACATCGTTTCAAGCCCTTCTGAAAAGGACGATATTTATTCAAAGAAATCCCAGTTGGGTTATGACAAAGACCCCTTGACTTTCGTGTTGAATTTCAAATACCAAAAACATATCAGAGAAATCTCCTACCGTTTCCACAACGTTGCTCACAGTTCTGAAACAGGTCCAGGTCACCCTGACACAACATAAGGTCAACACACATACACCGACGGCTACTGTAACACTGTAACTGATGTAACACTGTAACTGATACAACAGCGTAACCGATGTAACAACATAGCCGATGTAACACCGTAACCAACGTAACACTGTAACACTGTGACCGATGTAATACAGTAACAATGTAACACCATAACCGATGTAACACTGTAACACTGTGACTGATGTAACACCGTAACCAACGTAACACTGTAACACTGTGACCGATGTAATACAGTAACAATGTAACACCATAACCGATGTAACACTGTAACCAATGTAACCTACTGTATCCGCCATCCTGCTCGCTGTAGGAGACTAACAGCTCGGAGACTCCATCACCTCTCCAGCACACAATCACTGCAGTGGTGAAATGTATTCCTTCTTATTGATGTGTGCAACATGCTGGACTAACACAAAGGACATGAACAGTCACATTGATTCCTGCAGGTCACGACTGATCAATACTCAAGGATTCCTTAAAGTACACACAGGTGAGTGTTTTGCATTGGGAGCAAGTTCTACATGTTAAAGATAGCATGTGACATATGGTGAAACATGTGAGGGCGTGTATCTGACGAGTTGGAGTTTCATTCCCTCCCTGAAGAAGATCGATATCTACTACTAAATCTACCATTCAAAGATCTGGATTAGATGCATGTTTGTTTAAAATATGCAAAAGATATCACCATTACCAGTGTTTCTTCTGGCTTTTGAAACTCTAATAATTACCAGTTCCCCCTAAATTGTGCCAATCCCAACTTTCAACAAATATAAAAATGTATGAAAAATACCTGGTCTTAGTTCTTTGAAAATCATGTTCAATGCAATGACATCATCGCTGCAGTAACTTAGTTAGATCTACATGTCATTCACACAAATTTCAGACACAATTTTCTCTTCTTTTCTTGTTGAATATTTCGAAACGGGTCATTACAAATAGATATTTAACCACGAAGTAAAGCAAAATGTTATTTCCTTGCACAAAAAATAGACAAGGGGAAACCCTGATGGTAACAGATAGGGCTGCAACGATACAGGAAGGTCACGATACGATACGCATCTCGATATTCTGGTCACGATACGATACGTATATCTAGATATATAAAATGATAAAAAAAACAAGACTGAAAGCAAGTCAAGATTGAACCTTTCATGATTTTGGAACAGTCAAAATTATTTTATGATAACAAGACTATTGAAGTGGTTAGGCTTCAAAGTGGAACTTTCTCTAACTTTCCTTCAAAACACCAGAAAATAATTAATGTACTTCACCAGTGATACAACTTCATAGAATTGTGATGCAATGCATATGGCCGAATAAATTGTATCTGAAATTATTGTTTTATCAGGAATAATATATTCCAATATCATGTTACTTTAGTTGCAGCTTTTACTATATATATTCTTAAAATTATAAGAACCACAAGCATAGGATTTTGGTACTGGTGATTGCTGTTGCAGGATATTTTTACGTATGGAACAATCCAGTCACAAGTCACCGTAGGGACTTCCCGTGCTACATGTATTTAGATTGCGAAAACGTTATGTTGACATATATTAGCCAAATTGCCACAAATATGACTTTTAACGAGTCAAAGTAGGGCATTGTTAATATATGTATCCATTGTCTAGCAACTAAAGTTTGTTTCAGTGCATCAAAAGCGGTAATCTGACCGTGGTTGCTGTATCTCTTCACACACGATTTCACCTAACTTAATGAAAACAATATTAAATGAAATTTTGAATAAAATTAATAAAAATATATTACAAACACAAGTCCAGATATACAATGAACACGTTTTAATAAAAAAAGATAGTATAATAATGGTATTGAATTGCGTACTTCAGTTCGGATGTGCTGACTGGTATTTTCGGTGTTATGTGCTTGCGGTGATCAGCTAATAATGTTTTTGGAGATGGGGAAAAACACCTGTCAGTGTAAAACCTGAGCTTATTAAAAATGTAAGATTAGTTCGTTTTTTGGAGCCATGCGTGACCGCGCGCTGTAACCAAGTTAGCGGTTTATTGAAAGGCACAATAGCAAGAAAACGCTGTACTTGAGATTTGCGTTCCGTATCGATAAATGGGCCCACGTTTATCTTATATCGTATCGTGGGTCAAGTATCGCGATGCATCGGAATATCGGTGTATCGTTTCACCCTTAGTAACAGACAAATTGACTTCTTTCAAAAAATTTACTAATATGAATATCGCCGATGTTTTGTTAATAAGGTACTTTATTTGCCGGTCCCAGAGACCATATAATAGAGGGACGGCCCTCCCCAACAGTTTATCATAAACCATCATTGCTACGGTCTGGCATGTAACTGATACACCCCGACCCCCCGCTGTCAACCTCCCTGTACCGCTGCAGATGAGCAATAGATGCACAGACATTCACTACTGACCATTCTGGTAACCACGTAAATAATATTACATAATATCCGGGGTAAGAGTTAATTCCCTTAGCCGAGATTTCTCCGACTACGACCAGCGACAATCCAATAAAAGGATGTCTCTTAGTGGATTACAAAGATTTTTTTATGATATCTCTCATTAGCACATGTCAGTTGGCTGCAAATTGTTTGCTGAACATGTGTGTCTTCCGGGACATTTATTTCAATTTACATTCGCCAAAGCCATGGACGACTTTATTCACTGGGACGATTTTGTCTTTGACCTAGATATGCCACTTGAAGAATTCCCACTTTTCGACCAGGGGTTCTTTCGGATGACTCCTGGTCTAAATAGAATGACAGTGATGTTACCGCTACCAAGCCGTTGGTAAATACCTCCCAAAAGGTTTCACTCAAAGAAAAAGATAGGAAATGAAAATATGACGTCTGTCCACAAGCGTAAGTTTTCGAGGGCGTGTGAAGGAAAAGCCGTTCCGATATCAAAAGTATTTTATAATGTATTCTATTCGTTTTAAAAATCAGTTAATATATCTCATTTTACGCTGCAATTTTGAACTATTATAAATAAACAAATATACCAAATCTACTACGAACGCCACAGAAAACTATGATCCGGTAAATTGCACAGGAACTCAGGAAGTGTAAATAAAACTCATCCAGACGCAAGGAAGACACTTGTAACATATCACCATATTCCCGATGTTCACAAAATATATCTCCAGATTAACTTCATATCTTATAATAAATCCAGGCTAGATTATTTGCAAAAATGCATGATCCCCGACTGGAGTAAAAGCTTTACTATTAGCCAGAAAAAAATGACGCCAGTTTAATGTTTTTATTTCATGTAAATTCACTACTATTTTGTAATGCTAATAGTTCCAATGAAAGTAAAAATACACATTAAACTACGAGCGTTGTTCAATGAATTTTCGATGTGTCTGACAATGTGCTTAGAAGGAATCAAACGTTATTGGTTAATGCCAGTTTGGGGCTAGCAGTGATAATGGGGTTTGCCAGAGCGAGATAAGTTTTTTTCAAAGGGAGGCTACTGTTAAATTCCAAAGCAAAGAGGACGATTGTAATTTTACAATCGTTATTTAATATTACCCGATTAGTTTGATATTTCAGCATACAAATAATTAGGTATTTCAGGTATAACAATATAGCTTCAACTAGCATGGTACCAGATATGTACTAGTATATCGTAAACTGTAGTAACGTTTGTAGTTTTCAAAATTGTTTCATCATAGTTTTCTATATATATCTGATCAATGAAAAACAAACTTTAAACTCTAACCTTGAACGAGGCATGCAACTATTACTATTAAAACAAAACAAAACATCACAAACTCTGACATATGTAAATGTATTTTTCATAGAAAAGGACAATAGACCATCTATTTATTTTACTGAATGACTGAACTTCTCTCCCGAAGACTGCCGATATAATCCTTCTTATTTCTTGTCATTTACAAAGAAAATGATAATTTTATAATACAAATATTTCACGTAACGGATTTTTACTTTTGTATGATGTTTTCATTGTTGTGTAAATACACAAAGTATAAGTAGTACCTTCATCATATTTACATTATTATGATTGGGTTTAGACCCATATCATATAGCTCATAATCAATATTTACACGGCATAAAATAAATAATTGATTAAATGTAGTCATGATTAATACAGACAAAATCTACAGAAGATAACTAATATGTAGTATTGTAGTACGTAGTATATGCGCAATATGTGATAGAAGCCTACCTGAAACAAAGTTAAACTTACAAAGAAATGGAGAAATCAATGGTAAAGAAAATATGTGTCTCACAAAAACAATTCTAATATCATACAATATGAGCCACTTTGTAGAATGTTTCAAACGATATAAACGGTTGATAATCACAGACAAAATGCATGTTATGTCGTCTGCTATATGGTAATTTAACTTACAATATGTGACGTAAAATATGGCCTTGCACCAAAAATCACACAAAAAAACTACCGATCATACCTCAATAACTTTGGTACCAAGCCCAAGGGGAAATCGTGATGAATGTAAAACTTTTTAATTCAGGACCGATAATAGGAACACATTCGTCTGAAAACATGCGAAAATTAAGAGTTGGGGTGTAATTATTTCGGGAAAATTCAGATTTAGTCCCATTTCTTGCGTCAAAATCTGAAATTTCGCATCCGACCTAAATTTGTTAATGGCACCAAGCCAATTTTTAACATATCTCCTTTTTATACACCTAGGTAACCAAGGACTTTCATTGTGAATTAGAGGCCATTATTGAAAATCAAAATCTGCACTTTTGCGGATTTTACATGTGCGGCATTTTGTTCTCTCGGACAAAGACAAAGCGTGATCACAGTCATCAAATACAGTGACAACGACATGCTTTAGGGCACCAACAAATCTCAGTAGTAATGTTAACAATGTTAAGAAAAACATGAGTGTAAATATGTATTGTGAAATATATCTTTTGCATGGGAAAAAAAGGCGACAACGATGACTGCAGTGAACGCGTTTCTGCTCGCTTCCGGACAGGCTGCGCAGTACAAGCCATAGCACTGATGGTTTCGCGGGGCCGTCCCTCTATTATATGGTCTCTGCCTGTCCACATGGACTGGCAACCACATGAATTACCAGTCCAAGCCTAATATTACTGGTAAACCGGACCACTGGCAAAGATATAGTGTCATGCACCTCACTGTTGCAGTTGCAGTAGGATATCCATATAATTATGCAAAACAATATGTATGCACCAAAAGGCTTGCATTAGGCCTGTCTCTTCTTCTTTCAGAATATGTGCGTTTGTTTACAGTCTGGTCATGTGATAATGTATATATTATTTCATTTAAAGCAATCTCAAAATATCTCTGAATTTAAGAAAATATTAACTTTTTAAAAATCCCAATTTTGAACAAAATAACAATTTCCCAATTTGCCTGCCAGGGGCACTTCATTATAATCTTAGGTAAATCCCTGGCACCATAAACATAGTGACAGAGATCATGATGGGAGATAATATTATACATTAATTTGTATAGTGCCAATTCCCAGATTGGATCTGCTCAAAGACGCTTTTGCATGAATCTAGTGGTCAAAGAGAGAGTTCAATGAGAGTTGTAGGCGATTGCAACAAATATGTTCTGAACAGTCCCTTAAATTCATTGATATCTTTAGCACTTTTGATGTTGACGGGAGATAACAGAAAGATGTTCATCTGTTCCCGCGAACCGACTGAAGAACAAAGATGAACATGATGAATGTCATGTTGTCTCAGATCTAAAGGAGGTGAAGAGAACAAAGGGCATTTTTGCGGAGCTCCCAACACCCCTCATTTATTCTCTACATTATCATCCAGCTGATTCCATAATTACACCACCCAGAGTATTTCAGTAACTTTTACAAGTACCAAATTTTACTTGTACAAAATATAAAGAAAAAAATTTAAGTGCATTTCAGACTTGTATCCACTTACGCTAATTATGAAATACACAAGATAATCACAAAACAATCTTGATTCTTGCTCTACACTTCTCCGCCACTATCTATTCCATGCCTTGAAGAGTTCACACAGTGCAATCCACATCATCCAAGCCTGAAAGCGTCTGAGTCACAGACTTCAGCATGCTCAACACGATGGAACAGAAGGATGCATGACATGAAGTGAGCTTTATTTAACTCATTTTTATTTTTAGATTTCAAAGAAAAGAAGGCACCGAAATGAAAGTGAAGAAATACAAATCTCCCGAATCTGTTTCAGGCAAAGCTGGCCACTGGTCTTTGTGATGCACTCTTGGGTAATCTGTAACTAATCTCCCCAGTGCAACTCAACATGTACACCTGTATCAACATTAGGAAGCACATCTGCCGTAACTCTGATAAGGGTGTCAAGTTACAGACCTCCAAAATAAGGCTATCATTCAAGGTTGTAGGGGGCATTTCTACACCACCCCCCCCCCCCCCCCCCAAACTGCTGCAGAAAGGGAAAGTAAAATCTTCAAGATCTTATTTAATGTTGACAGGTCCATATTTCAGTTTTGTGCGCAACAGCCGGGATGCTGTGGCTGCACGATGCCATGATGATCGAAGCCAAACGTGACTAGCGGTGAAATGAAGCATGACAGTCTGTCAATCAAAATCAACAGGCGAACCGGAAATGCACGTTATTTTCGTTTCCAGGCAGAACTCTCGCCATTACAGTCCGTATTTCACAAACATAAAACCAACATACTAAAATATATCAAACCTGGCGACTTTTCTCTGTTCGATGCCGTTCTTGTAAACTTTTATCGCAAGCATATGCACAAATCACTTACTTTGACACGTTGGCCGTACCGGTGCCAACATGTCTCGAACGCCATTTAACGAATATATCGCTCATGAAACAATACAAGCAATTGCAAATTGTGTATAACTTAATCACCTTCTCTTTTCCCGCTTCTAGTTTCTTCTTTCTTTGCTCTTCTTCCATCTTTATTGGTTTATTGTAGCGATTTTGTCAACAAAAACATCTGCGGCCATTTTCTTCCATCGCGTCGCTTAGAAGTGACACAAATTTATAGAGTTACCCCCCTTTGTCTAGACTCGCCGAGTCTATTAGAAAATTGATAGATGGTGTTTGTGGGGGGGGGGTTACTGTCATTTAGTACTTTGACTTCTCTGAATTATATCTCTTTTCGACATCATGTCAATTTTAATTGAAACGATATTAAATAGTTCACAAACAGTATCGTTTCTTGAACAACATAGATCTAAATCCCAGCTAAATCACGGTGACACTTACTTTATATAATTTTGTCTTGGCCTGGCTAGCCATTGTTTGACAGCAGGAAAGATGTTTCAGTTACCACTAGCAGTGGGATTTGGGGATACCCTTTCAGAAATTACACAAAAAAAGTTTGAAGTGTAAAATATCACAGACAAGGTAAATGACTGTGTGCTCATTATTTTCTATGGTGTGAAAGCTGCTGGTGTAGGCTTATCCGCATTGACCCTAGACGATATACCATTGCTGCTACACAATGTTCAAAACACATGTTAAGCATGGCGGTATATACCAGATATCTAATGGGACAACTTCAATATTTCAGACAGGTTTGGCCTATATGTTGATTGTAAAGCCCAAGATAGTAAAAATATACATTGATTAGACAACTGCCCGATAAATCGCAAAGTACAATGAAGAACGAAGTGAGGTTTTTTTCACGATGAAACATTGTTCTATTATGACGTCATTTCAGGAGATTCGAACATGCCCTCGAAACTTGATGACGTCGTATCCCAACAAGAATGGCTTTTGTTCTCTTCACCTTCATTGGATCTGAGATAACATATGGCATTCACCAATCCATGTTCATCTTTGTTCTTCAGTCGGTTCACGGGAACAGATGAACATCTTTCTGTTATCTCCCATCAACATCAAAAGTGCTAAAGATATCAATGAATTTAATTTAAGGGACTGTTCAGAACATATTTGTTGCAATCTGCCTACAACTCTCATTGGACTCGCTCTTGACCGCTAGATTCATGCAAAGGCGTCTTTGAGCAGATCCAAATATTTTTGAGAGGGGGTATCACGTGAGTTGTTCCCTATAGATGTTGCTGTGCAACGCAGATAAACGCAAATGACCAAAAGCGGGGAGATATGACAATCGGTATTTGGAGAAAAAGTACTGGTAATCGACAATCGAGGATTGTGAGAATATACGGGAAATACCAACTTTTCCCGCATTTTCGCGGTCGGATTCTATTCAGGAAGTCAATTATTTTAATACGAGTAGATATTATTAAAGCGTGTACTTTTTACTAAAAATGCTATTAAAGACGCTGTACGTAATGTTGATATCGCATATATAGGAAATAAACGACTTGTGGTGGTTGTTCATCGTACAATAAAACTGCACCCGTGGTGGTTTATTCTCCCTGCAGTGTTTGATTGTACGATAAACAACTCCCACTCATATTTTATTTCCATATGTTTAGCCAAGAGGTATTGATAAAGAATTCAAAATTGCTACCAAAATTTGTTGTTCAACATTTTTAAGTCATTATAGATCAGATGAATGTTGGTTATGACCTGTCAGAGTCCATACGTCAGGCTACACTGACACGTGTATTTTCCAAGTTTCATATCCTGTCACCTAATTTATAGGTGAGGTGAAATGGGGTTTAACGCCGCGTCCAAGATTATTGCACTTATATAGCGACGTGCATGTACGTGTGTGTGTTTGTGTGTCTGCTTGTACTGGTCCGGACTGATGCCGATTTATATGCTAGCTCACTGAGATACCATGCCGCAGTTTAACATGAATACCCCACTCAGACACAGTATACTGACTCAGAGCAGACCAGTCCTTGTTTTAGCCCCTTAATGCTGAGCACCAGACAAGGTAACAACAAGTAGCATCTTTTAACGTCTTTTGGTATGACGCGGCCGGGGATCGAACCCCGGACCTTCTGCTCTCTATCAGTTTTGGTCATCAGAGTACATGAACTGCACTAAAGTTTGTTTCAAGGTGTCAGTAGCAGTAATCTGACCATGATTGCTGTAAATAACGGTGAGTTGTGCAATCTTCAGATCACTTCACATACGATTTCGCCAAAATGAATGTCAACAATATTGAATGAAATTTTGAATAAAATTAATAAAACCGATGACAAACATAAGTCCAGATATACAATGAACTGTTTCATAACCAGAGAGTGCAACATGTTGACATGATATTTCTGGTGTTACAGCTATCATCTCCTGTCCTGACTGTGTCTGTGAATGAGGCTACCCCTACCCCTCAGACTGAGGAAGCTATCCAGCTATCATCTCCTGTCCTGACTGTGTCTGTGAATGAGGCTACCCCTATCCCTCAGACTGAGGAAGCTATCCAGCTATCATCTCCTGTCCTGACTGTGTCTGTGAATGAGGCTACCCCTACCCCTCAGACTGAGATACCATGCCGCAGCTTAACATGAATGCACTCAGACACAGTAGAGCTGACCAGTCCTTGTTTTAGCCCCTTAATGCTGAGCACCAGACAGGGTAACAACAAGTACCATCTTTTAACGTCTTTTGGTATGACGCGGCTGGGGATCGAACCTCGGACCTTCCGCACTCCGGGCGGACGCTCTACCACTAGACCACGGAGGCGGTGCTAATTTATAAGTGAAAAAAAACCAAATTATAGTGAGGTTGATGTGGATGTGTTTGTTACATATTTTAGAGCCAGTAGAAATCATTGAAATATTAGAAGTACATTTTTTTTGGTGTGTTTTAAAGGAATATCGGTTCCAAAGAAACCAATGTTTTCTTCATGGTAAGACAATAAGGTGAAATGGGGTTTACATCGCGTTTGAGTTTATTGCACTTATATAGATGCGCGTGTTCATGCTTGTCATGCTTGTACTAGTCCGGGCTGATGCCGATTTATAGTGCTAGCCCACTGAGATACCATGCCGCAGTTTAACATGAATACCCCACTCAGACACAGTATACCGACTCCGAGTCGACCAGTCCTTGTTTTAGCCCCTCAACGCCAAGCACTAGGCAGGGTAACAACAATGATTGTTTGTTGTTTAACGCTGCACTCAGCAGTATTCCAGCTATATGTTGGCAGTCTGTAAATAATCGAGTCTGGACCAGACAATACAGACCGCCGTCATATAGCTGGAATATTGCTGAGTGCGACATGGTTGAAGCAAGTCATCAATCCCAATTGCGTGGAATTATGCTCGTGATATCAATCACTGGATCGTCTGTCCAGACTCGATTATTTACAGACCGCCGTCATATAGCTGGAATATTGCTGAGTGCAGCCTAAAGAAACAAACCTACCAACCTGTCCTGGTGAGCTAAGAACATTATTGAGCTCTTTGCCCTATGATGTGTGACTATTCAGGGCATCTGTTGCATAGGGTGGATAAAGGTGAAAATAAGACCCTTGTCCCTATCATCTCATTTAAAATGAAACAAATAACAGACCTAGCAATAAATTCTTTATTTTCATAAAACATTGTGAATAAATATACAAGTGAACATAAAACACAAATATATAAAGGCAATGTATACTACTCAAAAGAAGTAACAACACCAGACTCTTTCATAGTAATGTTGTTCTTTAACTTGTTTTGAGCAGTATATAATATATACCTGCGTGGGTGGGTGTAGAAGGAGAATATAAGATATAAAGAAATATATAGTTGTTCATATCAGGTCTAAAAACAAGCAGTTCTTAAACAGGGTCAACATTATTTCATGTACAACTATGACTAGGCAGGTAAAGAAAGCAAATATTTCATGATACATGTTAAAATATAGATGAATATTTTAATAACAGTTGGATAATGTCTTCCAAAAAGGTAAATACTAACAATGACGCTTTATGCCAAACTATTTACACAGTGGGGTGTGTCCCCCCGGCATGGTGTTGGGTGTGGTCATGAACAGGTGCCCCTACAAAGTAGAATGCGCAGCTACTCTCGACGCATGTCTTGTGGACAGTGAGGACAATCAGATGTTTAAACTATCTGTACTGGAAACAGTAGGGATGTATCTAGGAGGCTAAATTCAGTGTCCATGGCAGGCAAATTATAAAAAACACACTATTATTTTGTTCAAAATTGGATTTTTTTAAAACATGTTTATTTTTGTAAATTTGGATGTATTTTTAAATTGAAGCATTAATGCCTCATCCACTTTACTGTCCCTGTTGTAAGTTACCTCTATAAAGTCACATAATTGAGTAACATTATTTTTATTTTTTTCAATTCCAATTTGGGAATTTTCATGACATTTGCTTGGGGCCAAATAGGGCCTTTAAGGAAGTCTAGATAAACCCCTGAACAGTGAAATAAACTCCTACAGATCTGAAGACATCCATTTTCCATCCACATTATTTCAGCATCACTATTGAGAACACAACTCGCATGATATTGATAAATAATGATAAATAATGATAAATACGATACAGAACGAGTGTTGTTTTCCGCCAGTCAGCAATGTTCCAGCTATATCGAAGCAACCTGTAAACAAACCATGTCATGGTCGTGCAAACCAGTGGCCAATTTAACCTGTCCTATATCGTCAACTCATACATCCAGCATGGGGACTGGAGACCAATTCGGCCCAGATATCCCTACACAGAATAAAACCAATGTCATCTTTTTTATTTATCAATCTCATTTTGAAAAAAATATTGTGCATGAACTTCCATTATGGTGTCAAATAATGCAAAATTTCAGGATTATTTACAACGTACAATGTACACAACATTGTACGTACTTTATCTGACTATGTACACAACATCATCTTGACTGCATACCTCATCTTCCTGAGGCAAGGGAGTTAACTAACAGTAAAAGTCCAGTTTCCACCCTTGCCGAACTAGGCTGTAATTTCTGGGCTTGATCGTAGTGCCACCAGTGGCTATTAAGAATTATGTCCCTTCTATGTTGCCCCTATTGACCAATCAGATTCCATCTCTCATATCACTTGCATTTGCTTCAAACAAAACGACCGCACCCAGTCAAGGTGATCTGACTGATAATCAAGATTCTATTCTAAAAATACTAGCTTCTGCTGTGATGTTGATGTCAAATTGGCTGTTTCAATCAGAGGGGGTTTATTGTGATTTGATACCTCTGATTGACCAATCATAATCAAGTATTTTCCAATTTCATGGTAACATAAAGAATTGACTATAATATGTTTTTGCTTATATGGAGGTATAGTTATATAGCCTACAGTGTAGCTGCCCATAAAGTGGAACTAAAGTAAAGTGTGCACACTGGTTTTTAACTTCATAATTTCATGAACATAAAACATACTGAAGTCAATTCATGTAAATAAACATGTCCACAATAATAACTTCACAGACTGTTTACTGAAACATAAACAAAAAAAACAACTGAAGACAACAATTCGAAAACTCAGCGACATGGTTCAGCACATATTGCACCACAAGCCACCACAGGCCACCACAGCGATACCGGTACTCAGTAAGTGAGTGAGTGAGTTGGGTTTAACGCCGCTTTTAACAGTATTCCAGTTATATCATGGCGTGTCAGCTTAATGTAGGAGGAAAGCCCTAAGTGATGCAGGTCTCAGACGTTTACCACTTCGGTAAAACCCACGAGCACGGGTATGGTGCTGACAAACCTAGTAACATAATTGGGGCGAACCGGGATTCGAACCCACAATCACAGGTTTCTGGCGTGCCCAAGGGACGTAACTCTGCACAGCGAATCGCGGCGCCTTAGACGCCTGGGCTACCCATGCCCCCTACTCAGAAACAGTTGCTCATTGGTGGGCTTGACCTAATTGTTTTTAGCTTCATGGAAACACAAACGCAAAACAGTTGCTTCGTTAGCCAATCAAACACCATGGAATCACTTGCAATATAGATATCTCAATCTTACCACGCTCCTTCCAACTGTTACACATATTAATGACATGAAATTGAGAACATATATCTGTAAGGACATTAGAATAGTAAAACAAATAATATAACAAGTATGAAATAAAAGTGAAAGTTGGTAATGCCACTTTGAACAGTTTTTTCAGTTGTATCACAGTGTGTCAGTTTAAGGTGGGAGTGAGTGAGTTGGGTTTAATGCTGCTTTGAACAGTACCGGTATTTCAGTTGTATCACGGCGTGTATCAGTTTAAGGTGGGAGTGAGTGAGTTTGGTTTAATGCTGCTTTGAACAGTACCGGTATTTCAGTTGTATCATGGCGTGTCAGTTTAAGGTGGGAGTGAGTGAGTTGGGTTTAATGCTGCTTTGAACAGTACCGGTATTTCAGTTGTATCACGGCGTGTCAGTTTAAGGTGGGAGTGAGTGAGTTGGGTTTAATGCTGCTTTGAACAGTACCGGTATTTCAGTTGTATCATGGCGTGTCAGTTTAAGGTGGGAGTGAGTGAGTTGGGTTTAATGCTGCTTTGAACAGTACCGGTATTTCAGTTGTATCATGGCATGTCAGTTTAAGGTGGGAGTGAGTGAGTTTGGTTTAATGCTGCTTTGAACAGTACCGGTATTTCAGTTGTATCACGGCGTGTCAGTTCAATGTGGGAGGGAGTGAGTGTGTTGGGTTTAATGCTGCTCTGAAAGTATTTCAGTAAAATCACAGTCAGCATATTGTTGGAGATAAAGTGAGAGATTCAGGTTAGAATGGGTTGTGGAGTAATTGTGGTGAGATTTATTCAACTGCGAAATTAAAGATTTCTTAGTTTACTGATGAGACTGATTTATAAAGTGATGCTCATTTTAACGACCCTCTATCTTTGAGGGATGAGAAATCCAAACAAGATAAAACTACTGAAATCCAAACCAAAGAAACTAGGACTATTTTCTATTTAATTGATCTAATGCAGAGTACGTAGTTGTAAACGGTCAATGGAAGCAGGAAAGCAGGAGCTCAAACTGTAGTCTAATTATTTCAGTTGCTAAGCAACCACAATCTGTATCTCTCCTTTACGTGAGGAACACACAGGAAGTCAGCTGCCATCTCTAGAGCTCCTTGATTCAATGAAATCTCACAAGAACAACATGGCAACATCCCAAACACAGCGTAGTCTGTGAAGCCCAACTTGTTTTGAGCAAGCAACTGACTCCCTCTAAAATTGGTTTTATATGATTAAAAAGTGAGACACCTCGATCCATCTTCCTGAGGCAAGGGAGTTAACTGACTGTAAAAGTCCAGTTTCCACCCTTGCTGAACTAGGCTGGAATTTCTAGACTATATTACCAGTAATGTCCCTTCTAGGTCCCTCCTAGTGACCAGTCAGATTCCACCTCTCATGTCACATGCATTTGCTTCAAACAATATGGCGGCGCCCAGTCAAGGTGATCTGATTGATAATCAAGATCTATATTGTAATAAAATGGGTCTTACTTGAGCACCTTCATTAAATACATGACAAGATCTGTCGATGTCCAGTCGGCAGTACACATGTTTTGCAAATCCTGCAGTCGACTGAAATCTGCACGTTGAAATCCATGTGGTTAACGAACCGGTTAGTCTAGCTGGTTACGCGATTTTGTTTGGACTATACATAGACTCCGTAACTCCAGGCTACCAGACCCAGTTTGGCAAGGGTTGAACTGGACTTTTATAGTCAGTTAACGCCCTTGCCTCAGGAAGATGCCTCAATCCCAAAACTCAGTGAAAATTGTACGGTCATATCCAAGGAAGGATTCTATTTTTGTTACTTGGTAAAAGTTTGTTTCCAAAATATAAGGGCCGGGGTCAAAATTACAATAATGTGTTGAAAATATTTATTCTAAAAATGACAAGCCAAAAGAGTTACCTCCCTTACCATATTTACCTCCTTTTTTTCTCTGTTACTGATAATCTACGTGAGTTCATTGTTTTTCCAGTAATTATACAAGACTTCTCTCAAATTTTGTTTTACTCCAAATACAAGAAGCTTTGGGTTGTTGGATTAATATTTCAACTGAAAATATAATGCTTCATGTAGCAGTCTCAGATGGTATTGTTAAAAATAATAAATGTTAATGAAAGTTATACTTCTTTTAGATTAATCAAATTGGTTTGAAGTCTTCAAGGCATACATGACCTTACACATTCAACAGAGAGAGATGCGATGAGTCAGCAAGAAAACACTCGATGAAGAGACATCACTCAATACATGGAGCCTCGTGTCTGACAACACTTGTTCTTTCTTCACTCAGTTTGTTCATAGCCACAGATTGACGTCTGCTCCAGTGTCCCAGGGTGTACCAGCACTGTGGTCACATGTTTCATGTGGAAAATCCCAACTCCGTGGGTCAGACCTCTGTGGCGTTAGAGCAGGAAACAGGTTGGAACGTGGTGAGCGTCGTCTGCTCGATGTGGCCGAGATAGCTGTAGTTTGCTGTTAATCTAACAAAGTAAAGGAAAGTAAATTAGCTGAACAAATACATTTTTAGAAGAGTGTTTGTTTGTTGTTTAATGCTGAAATCATCAATATCCATGAATGATCAAGTGGCTGGACCAGACAATCCACTTATTGATGTTATGAGCAACACTCGTCTGGTACGATGACCTTCAATCAAGCAGGTCGCAAGTCTGACCACCCGATCCACAAAGGTGCCTCTTATAACCAGCATAGGTTATTAGGGATCCTGTCCAACTCGGAATCCCCACAACTGGAAGAGATTTGACAGTGAAGGATCTGATGCCATATTTCTAGAGTGGCAAAAGTTGAACTTCTGAGCAGAGTTAAAGACACTTTAGAAGTATGTCAGTTCCATCCATGTGGGAGGAAAACCGGGGGTGATGCAGGTTTTGACTTGGTTAAACCCACAAGATTAGGTGCCGACAGACCATAATCAAGGTAAATCTCACAATCAGTACAGTATCCTGGCACGGTTGGGGGAAGTAACTCTGCACAGCAAACTGTGCAACATTCACAACAGGGAGAATGCGGACCCCAGCCACTCATAGCAGACCTCGGCACCACAACTTGGGATGCAGGTTCACTGAAGCAGTATCTCCTTGCTAACGATATCTCCTAGGAGATATCACTTGATCTCACAGAGTGATATCTCTTGTTAAAGCAGTGTTGAACAATAAATACAACTCTACCAATCTTCTGTAGGAAACCGTAAACAAGGACTAAATATAAATTGTGGCATAAACCAGACATTTTCATTTGTATACCAGAACCAAAAGGAAGAGAACTGATAGGTTTCCATGACAACTTACTGGAATGTTATAGGGAGATTGTGCACCCATGGCCTTGGATCTTCACAGAAACGTCTGCAACATCAAAAGAATAATCATAATAATCACAATACCTGGAGACATCACCTGACTTCAAGTTAACGACCATGTCCAGGTACATACAAGTTCGCAGCTGTCACATATGTTGCCATTAGCAAGTTATAAATATGACTTGCTCAGGAAATAAATTCTGTTCCTACTGGACACAGAAACAAAATGATTACCTACCAGGCCATATTACTTCATGATGTTGTTTTTAAATATAACTTTGTATTCATGAATAAATTGTGTATATAAACTTGGTCTTGTCACTATATCGCTGAAATAATGCCGATGCGACGTACATACTTCGTGATGTACTTGAAAATACTTTCATTTTTTATTATTTACTGGACAAGTAAAACATTCATAGAACTGACGAGTGTGACCATGTTAGGCTGTCAACAGAAGGTAAGAGTAGTCTTCCTGACAACAGTATCACGGACTGCACGTGGAGCACACGCAGGTCAGTTTCATCACTTGTTGGCTGATGCTTAAATTGTAACATTGGCTACTTTTTGTACTTTCGTACGCATTGGAACAAAACTGACGAGGAACACTACAATATTCTTCATTTCAACTAACAATTACAATAAATAGTCTAATTTTGCATTGACATTTTACAGTTACTATCATCAACATTAATGTTACTCAGTTTGTAACCATGGTAACTATGATACAGATGTTTGTTTTGCTTGTTTCTTTGTTGTTTTACACCGCACTCAGAGCCGTCTGTAAATAATTGAGTCTGGCCCAGACAATCCAGTGATTGATATCATGAACATTGATTCACTCAATTGAGATACGATGACATTCATCAACCAAGTCAGCAAACCTGACCACCCCATTAGTCGCCACTTACGATGCGGATGTAATGTCCTGATGCATGGGCCGTAAGTTACGACACCAATTTTCGAACTCTTTTGAGATCATGACCAGTAACAACAGTGTATGATTTCACTTCTCTGACTTTAATGGTTTTTGAGAAGCTGACAGACAGACTTCGACGTGAGGGATAATAATGCGTTGTGAGTAAAAAATACATGTAAAATTAGCTGGCTTCAAAAGTGACTGTACATGTCCTGCCACCTGGTGGCGGAGTGTAGCATTACAGAAGCTGTAGCATCCACACAGACAGAGTTGATCGTCATCCAAAACTGGCTCCCACAGGAGATATCGCTTTGGCGAGATCAAGCGATATCTACTTTGCAGATCATTGTGATGTCATTAGTTACCATGACGTCACAATCAAATGACATCACTAATGGCTCTGATACTGAAGCTGTTAGCAGTACTTTTTACACTTAAGACACTGTTATTACTGTCTACAACCTGAAAAAGTTGGAAGAATGATGTTGGATGATAAATAGAATCTCACCCTTGTGTCTTTTGATATCAGATACATCAACAATCGTTGATAAAAGTTGAAAAACTCCTCGGCAAAACCTCAGAGTTTTTCTACTTTTATCAACTCGTGTTGATATATTTGATATCAAAAGACACTCGGGTGAGATTCTCTATTTATCAGGCAAGTACACTTGACCAAGACTTAAAATAATAATGAAGTGGAAATCCACAAGTCAAGTAGTCAACATGAAGCCTGGTTCCACCACCCCGAGGTAGTCAAAGCAGGCGACAAGCAGAATGTGGCGATGCATGGCAAGTTGGGAGTACCTCTTTTCAGCTATATCATGAGCTTTGCAACAAAAGAATTGGTTCTCAGGCAATGGCTTTTGAAAAAATAATGTGGGCAGCCTTTTTGTTTTGGTTGTTCAGTACTAGAATGTAACCAAATAAACAGTTGTGTACAATCAACCTAGGAAAGGGCCTCCCTACATTCCTCGATGAGTAAAATACTGGAATACAGTATTGGACTACCTTTGGACTACCAGTTTGTGCATAATACACACATACAATGAGCTTTGATTTTATTTCACAATGCGAAGACGTTATCGTGAAATGCAACACCGGAAGAAGCATGTCAACAAATCCGTACTGAAGTACGCAAGTTGGTCCTGTTATTACACTATCTGGCTATAAAAGTGTTCATTGTGTATCTGGACTTACGTTTGTAAGCCATTATATTACTTTCATACGAGAATTCATTCAATTTTGTTTACATAAATTTTGGTGAAATTATGTATGGACTGATCGGCAAATCACATCAACTCACCATGAACTCGCCTTGAAACGAACATTAGTGGTTAGAGACACAATGTCTTCGGTCATCCTTTCACAGTATTGAAATTTCTTATCAGTTATGATATCGGCCATGATATTAAGTATTTTGCAAACTAAATCACCCATAGATCAGGGAGAATGTGTGAATGATTGCTATTTCTGTCTCTCCGAGACAAATAAACATGTAATCTTAATATCTGTGTATAAAACATTGTCTGACATACAGTACACAAATACCATTGAATTTGTAAATCATCATGCCTTGAGATGTTTTAACGTAAATTTCACGTTTTCATTGAACAAACAGACAAACTCCAACTGCCACCATGATCATAACACGAGCATGTAGAGGGAAGTAACTGCATGTAAAGGGAAGTAACTGCACGCTATATAGGATCGTGTTGTTTTAAGTATTGTAGCATTTCACTGCCGGGGTCGTGTGTTCGAGACGCGGAATATTTAAGGGTTTTAATTAATTGTTTTTGAAAATGGAAATAGAAACGCAAAGCGTGGCAGACTTTGTGATGATGTGGCGGTACCTGAGAACAAAGACTTTTTCTTTTAGACTTATACTGAAGCAAAGTGGAAATGTAAAGAAGCCTCACCATGAGAGACCAACAGGCGTGTAACCTCCGGTACACTACTGACCCACTAACCACAAGCCTGTGCCGTGGACGGTGGCTACAAGCACAAATGTCAAACCCTGAAATGGTCATGTGATTTTGTCCTATTATCCCACCTGTTGTCAAAATAACCTATTGACCTCTGCTTGTAACTTATGTCCTACAGTCTACAGTCTCATGTCTCCTTGACTACAGTCTCACGTCTATTTGTCTACAGTCTCACGTCTCCTTGCCTACAGTCTCACGTCTCCTTGTCTACAGTCTCACGTCTCCTTGTCTACAGTCTCACGTCTACTTGACTACAGTCTCACTTCTCCTTGTCTACAGTCTCACGTCTACTTGTCTACGGTCTCACGTCTCCTTGTCTACAGTCTCATGTTTCCTTGTCTACAGACTCACGTCTCCTTGCCTACAGTCTCACGTCTCCTTGTCTACGGTCTCACGTCTCCTTGTCTACAGTCTCACGTCTACTTGTCTACGGTCTCACTTCTCCTTGTCTACTGTTTCATCTATCCTTGCCTACAGTCTTACGTCTACTTGTCTATGGTCTCACGTCTCCTTGTCTACAGTTTCACGTCTCCTTGTCTACAGTCTCACGTCTCCTTGTCTATGGTCTCACATCTCCTTGTCTACAGTTTCACATCTCCTTGTCTACGGTCTCACGTCTACTTGTCTATGGTCACACGTCTCCTTGTCTACAGTCTCACGTCTACTGTCTCACGTCTACTTGTCTACAGTCTCACGTCTCCTTGCCTACTGTCTCACGTCTACTTGTCTACAGTCTCACGTCTACTTGTCTAGTCTCACATCTACTTGACGACAGTCTCACGTCTACTTATCTACAGTCTCACGTCTATTTGTCTACAGTCTCATGTCTACTTGTCTACAGTATCACATCTACTTGACGACAGTCTCACGTCTACTTGTCTACAGTCTCACGTCTCCTTGCCTACTGTCTCACATCTACTTGACTACAGTCTCACGTCTACTGTCTCACGTCTCCTTGCCTACTGTCTCACATCTACTTGACTACAGTCTCTCGTCTACAGTCTCACGTCTCCTTGCCTACTGTCTCACGTCTACTTGTCTACAGTCTCACGTCTACTTGTCTAGTCTCACATCTACTTGACGACAGTCTCACGTCTACTTATCTACAGTCTCACGTCTATTTGTCTACAGTCTCATGTCTACTTGTCTACAGTATCACATCTACTTGACGACAGTCTCACGTCTACTTGTCTACAGTCTCACGTCTCCTTGCCTACTGTCTCACATCTACTTGTCTACAGTCTCACATCTACTTGACGACAGTCTCACGTCTACTGTCTACAGTCTGACGTCTCCTTGTCTACAGTCTCACGTCTCCTTACCTACAGTCTCACGTCTACTTGTCTACAGTCTGACGTCTACTGTCTACAGTCTGACATCTCCTTGTCTACAGTCTGACGTCTCCTTGTCTACAGTCTGACGTCTCCTTGTCTACAGTCTGACATCTCCCTGTCTACAGTCTGACATCTCCTTGTCTACAGTCTGACGTCTCCTTGTCTACAGTCTGACGTCTCCTTGTCTACAGTCTGACGTCTACTGTCTACAGTCTCACGTCTACTGTCTACAGTCTCACGTCTACTTGTCTACAGTCTTACGTCTCCTTGTCTACAGTCTCACGCCTCCTTGTCTACAGTCTCACGTCTACTTGACTACAGTCTCACGTCTACTGTCTACAGTCTCAAGTCTACTGACTACAGTCTCACATCTCCTTGTCTACAGTCTCACGTCTCCTTGTCTACAGTCTCACGTCTACTTGACTACAGTCTCACGTCTACTGTCTACAGTCTCACGTCTACTTGTCTACAGTATCACTTCTACTTGTCTACAGATTTGATTCTAGAACAGTCCGGCACCACTTGCTGTAGCGCCTGTGAGGAAACCAGTCCCAGTGTTAGAGACCAATATGACTATCACCATTATGTCTTCTCAATGTCAAATCCAAAATTTAAACATGAATTTACGTTAAAGTGATAATTTGAATATTACATAATTTAAAATATTTAGGATAATAATATACTGATCCTGTTACAACATATTGAAAGTTTCCACTCTCTTTAAACCCGAAACACAGAACCCCAATCCTGCATCAGTGACACACAGAACCCCAATCCTGCATCAGTGACCTCAGGGACACACAGAACCCCAATCCTGCATCAGTGACCTCGGGGACACACAGAACCCCAATCCTGCATCAGTGACCTCGGGGACACACAGAACCCCAATCCTGCATCAGTGACCTCGGGGACACACAGAACCCCAATCCTGCATCAGTGACCTCGGAGACACACAGAACCCCAATCCTGCATCAGTGACCTCGGTGACACAGAGAACCCCAACCCTGCATCAGTGACCTCGGGGACACACAGAACCCCAATCCTGCATCAGTGACCTTGGGGACACAAAGAACCCCCAATCCTGCATCAGTGACCTCGGGGGCAGCCCCACTGGCAGAGAGACACACTCTGGGTTTTGCTGCATGGTGAGGTGAAATTGGGTTTAACGTCGCGTCCAAGATTATTGCACTTATATAGGGACGTGCAAGTACGTGTGTGTGTTTGTGTGGCTGCTTGTACTAGTCTGGACTGATGCCGATTTATAGTGCTAGCCCACTGAGATACCATGCCGCAGTTTAACATGAATACCCCACTCAGAAACAGTATACTGACTCCGAGCCAACCAGTCCTTGTTTTAGCCCCTTAATGCCGAGCGCCAGACAGGGTAACAACAAGTACCATCTTTTAACATCTTTTGGTATGACGCGGCCGGGGATCGAACCCCAGAACTTTCGCTCTCCGGGCGGACTCTCTACCACTAGACCACGGAGGCAGTCTTTGCTGCATGGAATAGAGATGGAATTTGCAATTATTGTATCAGGATAAGAAACAATGAATTGTTTGCGAGGGAACTCCAACAATTTCAATATGCTGTATACTAAAGCTCTCTCATCTACACCAAAACTTTCGAACTCAAAACTAAAATGGAAATCTCTCATCCCAGACATAAATAAAACATGACAGAAACTTACACCAGGAAATCCCAGTCGTTTTCCTTCTCAAATATCAAATTCATAACAACATCGTATCTTCCAACACCGCGAGTGGGGAGGTCCACAGTGGTCTTGTTTTTTGCCACGGCAATCTGTTTGTTGTCATACAGCGACACCATCAGTGCTCCTGTCACTTCCACAGGGAAAAAGTTGTTGTTGGTGAAGTTGTAGGAATTCTGAAAACAAAGAAAAGATGGTGGGCTTTTTTAACACAATTAGTCAAGGCAGCCTGTGTAAGACAAGGCACGGTCCAAGGAACTTGACAGCATGATGACCATTGCTTCCAGACTTGTTTTACAAATCATTTTTACTTTGTAGCCCCCACAGCAGGATCCACCCCTACCCAACCCACAGCAGGATCCATCCCTACCCAACCCACAGCAGGATCCAGCCCTACCCAACCCATAGCAGGATCCACCTCAACAGCAGGATCCATCCCTACCCAACCCAAAGCAGGATCCACCCCAACAGCAGGATCCAACCCCTACCCAACCAACAGCAGGATCCACCCCCTCAGCAGGATCCAACCCCAACCCAACCAACAGCAGGATCCACCCCCACAGCAGGATCCAACCCCTACCCAACCAACAGCAGGATCCACCCCCACAGCAGGATCCAACCCCAACCCAACCAACAGCAGGATCCACCCCCACAGCAGGATCCAACCCCTACCCAACCAACAGCAGGATCCATCCCCACAGCAGGATCCACCCCTACCCAACCCAAAACAGGATCCATCCCAACAGCAGGATCCAACCCCTACCCAACCAACAGCAGGATCCACCCCCTACCCAACCAACAGCAGGATCCACCCCCACAGCAGGATCCACCCCTACCCAACCCACAGCAGGATCCACCCCTACCCAACCCACAGCAAGATCCACCCCAACAGCAGGATCCACCCCTACCCAACCAACAGCAGGATCCACCCCTACCCAACCAACAGAAGGATCCACCACAACAGCAGGATCCATCCCTACCCAACCAACAGCAGGGTCCAGCCCCACAGCAGGATCCAACCCCTACACAACCAACAGCAGGATCCACCCCTACTGCAGGATCCACCCCCACAGCAGGATCCACCCCTCCCCAACCCAAAGCAGGATCCACCCCAACAGCAGGATCCACCCCTACAGCAGAATCCGCCCCCACAGCAGGATCCGCCCCTACTCACCACTATTGTGAGGTTGGCAAAGACCTTCTTTTGGTCCACAAAGAGACTGACTGGATTGAGGAGACCCTGACTGCTGCAGACGTTCACGTCCCGCGGATACAGGAAGTACAGTATGAGACCTGCCGTTACAGCACACAGCAGAATGGCCAGTGCTACATACTGGACCCTGGAAGTAGACAGAACATGATTATAGAAAATACAGACCAGCCACACAGCAGACAGAACATGATTATACAAAATACAGACCAGCCACACAAGGAGACAGAACATGGAATATCTGGCCACTGTACTAAAACTCTTAAATTTGATGTTCAAACTTTGAGAAGAACACCTTCAAATTTGATTGAATCGAGCTAGACTGATTTCTGTTCTTTCAAAGCAGAAAAAGTTTCATTTTGGGGTAAAATACCAGATATAGCCTGCAACCTCGGGGTATCGTGGTACTTGTCATGTATGCTGAACGGAACAAAATGCACTCACTAACCTTTATGATTATTTTTGTTCTCTATATCAGATGTCATTTATTTGATCTAACAATGCATATTTTACTGATAAAAGTTCATTAATTACATTAGTAGCTCCAAGTAAAAGACGGGCCTCGCGCTCAGTTTGACAAGGGAGAGAACTCCATCGTATCTCGGTACAGAGGAAAGTTGTGTATGGAGGTCCGAATTGGACAAAAAGAGGACATAATTCTACCAACCACTTAGTATGATCATGCCAGATATCAGTGATTTGTCCAGACAATTGCAAAGAAAGCACAAGTAAAATTCTAAATGTGTTATCAGCAATAGGTATTCAATGCATATTTACAGAAAAGTAAGAGAAAAATATTTAAAAAATCAACAACAAAATATCAGAAATGATATTCTAAGATTGTTTATAAAAAAAATTGGATGACAATAATTTGTCACATAATGGAAAAATGTTAAAAGTCAACAATAAATATATAAAAAACACTCCTAGTATGCCTAAAGTATGTATTTATTATTTGGCTACTAGTGAAGAACGTATTTCTAAGTTTGGCATTATGGCCCTTATGATCTCCCAATAGATTCTGGGCACAGAGCGGGAATAAATGTGCGTACGTAACTTCCGTTACCTTATTAGTCGCCATGAATATGTAGATGATCTAGTTCAGGTCGATAGAGAAAGTTTACTTGGGGACCTGCGGGTTATATTGTTGGCCATTGATAGATGGGGGTAAGGCAATATTACCAAAGATGCCAGAAATATGTATCAACGCATTAATAACTCCTTACTTACAGCAGACGGAACATTCCGAGAAAATTGAAATTGTTTAGAAGTGTGCACCTCCTGGTTACTGATTTGCATTAATAGACAGCTGCTAAGAGGCGTGTCCCACGTGAACTACCGGATATCACAAATGCCGCGATATGATGAATGCCGTGGTACCATGGGGTCAGAATATACAATGATGTTCTCTGCAGTGGCCTAAGAACTACATGCCGTGTTCGATGTAATAAGCGCCCAGGGGGCTCTCAAAATTAGAAATAGGGGGCTCTTATTAGAATATAATTTGGGTGAAAAAAACAGAGTTGAAAGATCGCTTATTACGTAGAATAGGGTATATTGAGGTACTGGTGACCTGCCACGAAGACATGCTGCCCCAGATTCCTACTTCCAGATCAGGCTACAACATTGAGGACACACCCATGGCTGCTTTGACTTCTTTGACTTCTTCCTTATCTATAGGACTTCAACATCATGACTTCCACATCCATCATCTCTGCTGATTGTAGTCAGACACTGCTAGCAATTACCAGGTCTCAGTAAAGAGAAACCATTAGTTACCATGGTTACAAACTGCCATCAGAACCTGCTCCTGATACCTGGTGTGCTGACCAAACTCATTCAACTTTACTAATATCCATGCTCAGCCAGGCGTGAGATCCATATTACAGCAGGCGTGATATTGGGTTCAAAACCACATAAATCAAAACTGAAAGCTACATATTAATATGAAAACAATTAAAATTGTTCCTGATAGATATCAAATTACTGCAGAAAACACAGCTTGCGCTTGGCCAAATAATGATAGCAGATACATTGCAGTGTTAGAGTGAGTTTGGTTTTACGTCGCTTTTAGCAATATTCCAGCAATATCACGGTGGGGGACACCAGAAATGGGCTTCACGCATTGTACCCATGTGGGGAATCGAACCAGTGCCTTCAGCATGACGAGTGAACACTTTAACCACAAGGCTACCCAATCGCCCAGATAGTGTTAGAAATAAAGAGGGGTATGGAGACCTTGAGCATGTTGAGGTTTTCTGTTATAGTGTTTGAATCTAGGGCCCGCTAAAGCTGTGATTTTGAACACTAGGGTTACGACAAGAGAACCTTAATTTGCGGAAAGATACCTTCCATTTTGGCAGATTGTGCTGATAGAAAATAAATTATGTCAGATAAGAGTCTGCCAAGATATTCTACAACTCAGGAGAAATTTGTTTTCTTACGTTCGTCTCGGCTTCAATCTTTTGTCCTTGAGGGGAATTAACGCCACTAGCTCGCCTTTTTGTTCTGAAAAGAATCATCATCATCATCATCATCATCATCATTCCATCCACACCAACAGACACATTTGATAAACAACCCTGAGACAGCACAATTAAAGCAGACAGATAAGATCAGTTCCAAATTGCATGCCATCATCATCATCATCATCCTTAACATCATCGTCGTCATCCATTTTCAATTGAAAGATCTAGGTAAATTAATTGTGGTAATTCTCGCACAGTAAACAGTGTGGCAATACTTGTTTTTGTGTTATTGTTGTATAACTCTAGCAATATCATATGACAGTGGTCTGTAAAAACTCTGGACCAGACAAACCAGTGATTCATGTGATCAGTAACGAAATGTAGAACTATGACATAGCCCGGTCAGAACATGCATTCATCTCTCGTCATGTGGCAGGAGAGGCTCTTGTTAATTTGTTTGTAATTTGTAGTAACTGTCAGTGTAGCAGTACACTGTTGGGTGTTGCTGGTAGCAGCGTGTGATTCCAGTTATCTGTGCCTGGTTGAAAGTTGAGAAGGTTCTGAATGGGACACTTTCTAGAAGGCTGGCCATACCTACATAAGAGTCAAACGGCATGATCCAAGACTCCACTGCAACTTAAAAGAAATGCCTCAACACATAATACTATATTGCACACATTACCAGCAACACAGAACAACACTCCAATCCACACTAATCTGCAACAGTCAAATGACACTAGCAATGGTACTAAACCCCCTAAATAACTTACAAACCTTTAAAGCACTAGGCATATATCTAATCAAAACAGGTCTACTTGGCCGCATCTAACAAAGTACAACAAACAAGCTGCCAATAAACCCTAAAATACTAAACCTATAAAAACACACGAACTCCATTTAGTCCCCCCTCCACCTTTTGCATGGCATATTTCAAAATTCCAAATTTGTTCTCCAAATTAAGTAAGCAACCCTAAAGAGCCCCACCTAGGTTGCCTCACCTTTTCGGACATACCCTTTTCGACCAAACACTAAATGGCCTGTCGGGCCCCTGCGGGAAATACTTATATGTCGGAAAGCGCACGTTAAATTCCCAACTTAAGTAGGATCCAAGACATTTTTTTTATCTTACTTGCATCTTATCTACTTGCCATGCACTGATTGGACAACTGTCTCAAAACACTGAATTCCTGCAGCTGCTAACACTCTTCTTCATTCAAGAACGGAGACAGAGCTGAAGATATTCCACCATGACAAAATTCTGGACATGTGGAATGCACGTGCACTGATTCTGTGGCTTACTGCTGCTGCCACCAATTTGACTCATTACCTTGTCTTGTTTGATTGTAACCATGGAAACTCTGGAACTGTGCTTCAATATCATTTACTGATAGTTCATTGATTTTTTGTGGTCATTTGGTGATGTCACAACCTAGTTCTGTGTGAACCTATTTCTGATTTGACTGTTCCATTTTGGAAATCACCTTGTAAAACTCATTCCAACATCATGTCCCTCCAATAAGCTTGTGAGTCTGATGACAATGTTGTTTCATCGCCTTTAACCTACCATCATCTTCAATACCTCACAGAGTGTACACCCACATCCTTCCATCACACGTTAAAACATACAGGACCTGTGAAGATCCAGGGTAGAATAGGTCATCAGCAACCCATGCTTGCCTTAAAAGGCGACTATGCTTGTCGTAAGAGGCGACTAATGGGATAGGGTGGTCAGGCTCGCTGACTTGGTTGATGCATGTCATCTTATCCCAATTGCGTAGATCGATGCTCATGTTGTCAATCACTAGATTGTCTGGTCCAGACCCGATTATTTACAGACTGTCGTCATATAGCTTGAATATTGCTGAGCATGGCATTAAACAACAAACAAACAAATCAAACATACAGCCTCTATGCAATGTGATAGCGCTAGAACAGTTAACTACCATAAATTATTTGTACTCGACACAGTGTGAACGTGGAATGAATTACCGGATAATGTTCAGTCAAAATATACTGTATATGACTTCACTAAATGAATCACCACAACAAAAAATCCTAAAAAAATTGGCTTTAACTTAGAGTGAGTGAGTGAGTGAGTATGGTTTTACGCCGCTTTTAGCAATATTTCAGCAATATCACGGCGGGGGACACCACAAATGGGCTTCACACATTGTACCCATGTCGGGAATCGAACCCGGGTCTTCGGCGTGACGAGCGAACGCTTTAACCACTAGGCTACCCGACCGCCCCCTTTAACTTAGACTATGGTACCCGTTTTTGTTAAATTATCCATTGCCGCCTCAGGTTAGGATGCAGTGATTTAAATCACATACCTATTCATGGACGATGTCAAATATGGCACAAACTCGTGTAGTGCTGACAATGATAACGTACCAGGCCATGGTTACAAATACTGACTGCACTGCAAAGAAGACATACCTATTCATGGACGATGTAAAAACATGGCACAAACTCGTGAAGTGCTGACAATGATAACGTACCTTTTGTGACACGCCCCAGGCCTCGACACGTGGGGCACGGCTCGCTGTCCTTAAACAGCTCCTCATAGGTGGACGTGTCTCTTGAGTTGACGATTCCATTACCCACAATGCCATGAACGTTTCTCCTCAAGGGTGTGTTTTCATCATCACTAAACGCCATTCCTTGAAACCATCAACAGAAACACTCCACATTATACCGCTAACTCAAGCACTTTGTGCGACATCACAAATTTGGTCATTTTATGTATTGTACAAATATATATATTTTTCAAATATTATTTTATACCATGTCATATTTTTGCAACCTTTCACCAGGGGAAGATGTAACTACAAATCTGTATGTAGCCAGCAGGGCTTGTTCTACTTAAAAGAAACTGGCCCTTCTCCAAACTAACTGTCCTACAACTAAATGATGGAGGCCACAAAGTGGCCGAACCTGAGATCATGTAGCCACTTAGCGGGGCTCTGAACATTTTAGAACGCCTCACTCCCAAAATGTTTTTTCCTGCACCCTGGGATGAAATCATGGCTTCCATTTGCCTCATTTCGTGATGATTTATGAGCAAATAAAGATGTTGCTGTACACAACATTACAACATGGCGAGAAAGAGGCGACTAACGGGATCAGGTGGTCATGCTCGCTGACGTGGTTGAAGCACCTATTTTAGGTGCTATTTAATAACATTTCGATTTGCTTCAAGGTTAAATATATATTTGCAGCGATTTAGTCGTGAAATATTCAAAAAAAGGGAGTTGAAAGAATTAAAAACAGGTAATTTTCATACTTTTCTTCATTGTTGAAAGTTGGGACTGACAAAAATTAGAGGGGACTGATAATTTTTAGATTCTAAAGACAGCGGGAACACTGAATAATCTTGAACACAAGGTATAGGCAATTTCACCGCACCAATTATAATATCATGATCTCACTATTGTGATTACAAGATTCTTATCCAATTTTTGAAAGGAAAAAAATGTGATTCGGGAAGCATTTGACTAAGTTTGCATGTCAATCCAGTTAGTACACTATGTGGTTATGTTTGTAATCTGATTCCATCACTGATTACATTAAAGTCGTGTGTTAACTGATCGACAGATCGCTCCAACTCACTGTTATTTACAGCAATGGCGATCAGATTACAGCTATTGGTGCTTTGAAACTAATGCTAGGTCACAGTGAGTGAGTGAGTTGTGCTTAACGCCGCTTTTACCAGTATTCCAGTAATATCACGGCGTGTCAGCTTAATGTGGGAGGAAAGTCCCAAGTGATGCAGGTCTCAGATGTTTACCAATACGGTGAAACCCACGAGCAAGGGTATGGTGCTGACAAACCTAGAAACATAATCGGGGCGAACCGGGATTCGAATCCACAATCATAGGTTTCTGGCATGCCCAAGGGTCGCAACTCTGCATAACGAATCACGGCGCCTTAGACGACTGGGCCACCGGTACCCCCCACTAGTTGACAGAGAATGGATACATATGTCATAAATGCCATATTTTGACTTGTTAAAAGTCATATTGTTGTAGTTTGACTATTACATGTCAACTTAGTCTTTTTGTGATCGAATAAGAAAAACACAGGAAGGCTGTATTGATGACCCAGCAAACTGTTCCATAAATAAATCACGTCTGTATATCAAGAGCTACACTTATGGTTGTTAATATTAATTTATATTGTTAATTTATAAAGCTGCAACTGAAGTAACCGACAATGGAACATACCACTGCTGGAAAAATAAAGTTTCAGGTACAAGTACTTCCGATCACTGCATCAAAATACCTTCAAGTTATATCATTGGGTATCTTTCAAAAGAGTCACTGATAGATCCGGGAGAAAATGTGTGTATAGCTGATTGCTCTTACTGGTTAGTTTATAGGACAAACACATACGGTAATCTTAATCTCTGCATAGAAAACAATGCCTAGCAGGACTGAAAAAATAATTGAAATGGTCTTGTGATGTTTTAAGGTAATTTTCACATTTTCATTGACCAAGTTTGATATTGATCCTTCTGTTCGTTCCCCCGAAGAGATATTTTATAGTTTTTGAATGCCCGTAGCCTGATGCACGAAATATCCGTGTAATGTCAGCATGAGTGCTTGATGGGAAGCAAAGGGAATTAACTCTCAGGTTTCACGCTTTGCATTAGAATGTCTACCAGTCTACAATATATTGGAAACAATATAGGCATTGACATTGACTGACTAGCAGTACATGCATGAAAACAGACACATGGAACTGTTTGAAATATAGAGACTAAGAGTGAGAGGGTTGAATATAATTTTCATAATATAAATCATATTTGTTGTCATTAATGTTAGGGTGATGTTTTAGCTGCAGATGAATGGGTCTGTTTTAGCCAGCATACCCACAATACCAGTATGAACTGACAAGCTTGGTCACTTCTACACATTCCTAACTTCAGAATTACCCCTAGACTCACGCTTAGTCTCTGAAAATATACAATTTTGATAGAAACAAATAACTCAATTTTAATTGAAAAGGAGCCCCGGTGAGCTGGGAGATTCAGAACCTGAGGAAAGTCTAGTATGACTTCTTTTAGTCTTTTGCATTATAGGAAGGGCTGGGAGGAAGGGAAAATACTATGGTCAGGGACTGTGAGACAGAGTTCACCCCATGCACAGGACCTTGTGACTCATAGTAATAACAGTCTCACAGACGCGGCCTCTTATACATATTTTTGTGGGAGTTTGTTTATTTATAGTAGAATTAGATCTAGGTGGCTAGTAGTAGCAGTGGTGTGACATGGCCCTGTGCCCCGTGTTGGGGCTACTGACAAGATGTAAACATTGGAACTTAACGTTATAGTTTCCAATAATCCCAAAAGGAATGTGGAATTCCTGATATATATCCTCGTGAAAGACTTTGTACCGTTTGACGCGTTTGTAACACTCTCTAGTCACGAGATCGAACAGCGTGTGTCTCAGTGTTTGTCAACAAACTCTTGCTGTGACATTGCACATTTTCTGTCACTAGGACAACTCTCGTAATTTCCCTTTTGTCTCAGAATCATTTCACAGCAACTAGATTGTCGGAGTCTCCAAACAAACTTACCAAATCTTACACAACAAGCTCGTGTCAGCGCAGCAATGACTCGCCCATCCAAGACATGACTGATTGATGGAACGTACTCCACAGCAGCACGTGTAACAATTACTGCCCCCCCCGCAACTTTTTTTCTAGTATTTACAATCACTGTTAGGAGCTTTGGTGTCAACCCATAAACATGCCGGTGTTCAACAAGAATAGTTACCTTCGTATTATATATGCCATCTTTTAACTATTATTTGAATTAAAAAAAAAATATCTGATGGACAATATGCGGACTTCGTGCCACATGGAACATTATCACAGCAATAAAATCATCATTTACTATATGCTTTAACATGATGGGTCATTGGCACTGCACCGTTTTAAGTTAGACTAGTTTCGTGGCTATGCGCTCCAGTAATCAGTCGCTCGGGTTGACATTCTAGACGGCACCAAGTCAATGATACCCATGCCTCAGCATTTTTGGGCAAGGATCTGTTCCCGACCCATTATATCCGCTAAAAGCTAGATGGAAACTTGGCAGCGCCATTTTGAAATTTGATACCCCCATGATCACAGACAAGGCCACAGCTGGCTCGTGTCAAAATCAGGGGTTATAACAAAGCTTGCCCGGAATAAATGACAGATTCAATTGTGAGAAAGCCCCTGCTCATATAAGCACTCGCAATAGTTGTACTCAATTCATAATACCAAAGCTCCATGTTCTATATTCACATCTTATTTTCAATCACTTCAGAAATACCGTCATATTCAAATATCTGCTCAGACTTTTGTACTTATTCATTGGTTGTCAGTGTTTTGTATGGCGACATACATATAAGATTTACATTTCTGTACTCAAATTATCCTTATCCGAGCTTCCATGATTTATTCACTCCTTGACGCACACATTATTATATTTCACTGCGTCGGTGTTTTGGATAATGACTTGCAAATATGGGCTAACGGCATCTGCTCCTGTATGTACTATTGTACTGACATCTTCAATATCTCTGCTTCATTGATTTATTCACACATTGCACCAGATAGTATAATTTGATGCATCGTTCCTTTAAATGCATTCAGCATATTCCTTGTGTTTGCTAATGTTTTGTGTTCATGAAATATATTCCGAACATTTTAAAAGCAATCCAGCAAAGATCCACTACAAACTTCCATGGACACCAATGTGAATGTCTATGTTTGGTCGATGGATGTGAAAATGGAGAAGACTGATGCCAGCTATATATTATATAATAGTATATGTTGCTGATGCGACGACTTCCACACTTATGCACATCAACAATGACAGCATCCTACCTCTCCTTGGAGACAACCATCACCAGCATCCTACCTCTCCTTTGAGACAACCATCCTACCTCTCCTTGGAGACAACCATCCTACCTCTCCTTTGAGACAACCATCCTACCTCTCCTTGGAGACAACCATCCTACCTCTCCTTGGAGACAACCACCACCAGCATCCTACCTCTCCTTGGAGACAACCACCACCAGCATCCTACCTCTCCTTTGAGACAACCATCTTACCTTTCCTTGGAGACAACCATCCTACCTTTCCTTTGAGACAACCATCCTACCTCTCATTGGAGACAACCATCCCACCTTTCCTTTGAGACAGTCATCCCACCTCTCCTTGGAGACAACCATCTTACCTTTCCTTGGAGACAACCATCCTACCTTTCCTTTGAGATAACCATCTTACCTTTCCTTTGAGACAACCATCCTACCTCTCCTTGGAGACAACCACCACCAGCATCCTACCTCTCCTTGAAGACAACCATCACCAGCATCCTACCTCTCCTTGGAGACATCACCAGCATCCTACCTCTCCTTGAAGACAACCATCACCAGCATCCTACCTCTCCTTGGAGACAACCATCACCAGCATCCTACCTCTCCTTGAAGACAACTACCACCAGCATCCTACCTCTCCTTGAAGACAACTACCACCAGCATCCTACCTCTCCTTGGAGACAACCATCCTACCTCTCCTTGAAGACAACCATCGCCAGCATCCTACCTCTCCTTGGAGACAACCATCACCAGCATCCTACCTCTCCTTGAAGACAACCATCACCAGCATCCTACCTCTCCTTGGAGACAACCATCCTACCTCTCCTTGGAGACAACCATCCTACCTCTCCTTGAAGACAACTACCACCAGCATCCTACCTCTCCTTGAAGACAACTACCACCAGCATCCTACCTCTCCTTGGAGACAACCATCCTACCTCTCCTTGAAGACAACCATCACCAGCATCCTACCTCTCCTTGGAGACATCACCAGCATCCTACCTCTCCTTGAAGACAACCATCACCAGCATCCTACCTCTCCTTGGAGACAACCATCACCAGCATCCTACCTCTCCTTGGAGACAACCATCCCACCTCTCCTTGAAGACAACCATCACCAGCATCCTACCTCTCCTTGGAGACAACCATCCCACCTCTCCTTGAAGACAACCATCACCAGCATCCTACCTCTCCTTGGAGACAACCATCCTACCTCTCCTTGAAGACAACCATCACCAGCATCCTACCTCTCCTTGGAGACAACCATCACCAGCATCCTACCTCTCCTTGGAGACAACCATCCCCAGCATCCCACCTCTCCTTGGAGACAACCATCACCAGCATCCTACCTCTCCTTGAAGACAACCATCCTACCTCTCCTTGAAGACAACCATCACCAGCATCCTACCTCTCCTTGAAGACAACCATCACCAGCATCCTACCTCTCCTTGAAGACAACCATCACCAGCATCCTACCTCTCCTTGAAGACAACTACCACCAGCATCCTACCTCTCCTTGAAGACAACTACCACCAGCATCCTACCTCTCCTTGGAGACAACCATCCTACCTTTCCTTGAAGACAACCATCCTACCTCTCCTTGGAGACAACCATCCTACCTCTCCTTGAAGACAACCATCACCAGCATCCTACCTCTCCTTGGAGACAACCATCACCAGCATCCTACCTCTCCTTGAAGACAACCATCACCAGCATCCTACCTCTCCTTGAAGACAACTACCACCAGCATCCTACCTCTCCTTGAAGACAACCATCACCAGCATCCTGCCTCTCCTTGAAGACAACCATTACCAGCATCCTACCTCTCCTTGGAGACAACCATCACCAGCATCCTACCTCTCCTTGAAGACAACCATCCTACCTCTCCTTGAAGACAACCATCACCAGCATCCTACCTCTCCTTGAAGACAACCATCACCAGCATCCTACCTCTCCTTGAAGACAACCATCACCAGCATCCTACCTTTCCTTGGAGACAACCATCCCCAGCATCCTACCTCTCCTTGAAGACAACTACCACCAGCATCCTACCTCTCCTTGAAGACAACCATCACCAGCATCCTGCCTCTCCTTGAAGACAACCATTACCAGCATCCTACCTCTCCTTGGAGACAACCATCACCAGCATCCTACCTCTCCTTGAAGACAACCATCCTACCTCTCCTTGAAGACAACCATCACCAGCATCCTACCTCTCCTTGAAGACAACCATCACCAGCATCCTACCTCTCCTTGGAGACAACCATCACCAGCATCCTACCTCTCCTTGAAGACAACCATCACCAGCATCCTACCTCTCCTTGAAGACAACCATCACCAGCATCCTACCTCTCCTTGAAGACAACCATCCTACCTCTCCTTGAAGACAACCATCACCAGCATCCTACCTCTCCTTGGAGACAACCATCCCCAGCATCCCACCTCTCCTTGAAGACAACTACCACCAGCATCCTACCTCTCCTTGAAGACAACTACCACCAGCATCCTACCTCTCCTTGGAGACAACCATCCTACCTCTCCTTGAAGACAACCATCACCAGCATCCTACCTCTCCTTGGAGACAACCATCACCAGCATCCTACCTCTCCTTGAAGACAACCATCCTACCTTTCCTTGAAGACAACCATCCTACCTCTCCTTGAAGACAACTACCACCAGCATCCTGCCTCTCCTTGGAGACAACCATCCTACCTTTCCTTGAAGACAACCATCACCACCATCCCACCTCTCCTTGGAGACAACCATCCCCAGCATCCTACCTCTCCTTGAAGACAACTACCACCAGCATCCTACCTCTCCTTGAAGACAACCATCCCCAGCATCCCACCTCTCCTTGGAGACAACCATCCCCAGCATCCTACCTCTCCTTGAAGACAACTACCACCAGCATCCTACCTCTCCTTGAAGACAACTACCACCAGCATCCTACCTCTCCTTGGAGACAACCATCCTACCTCTCCTTGAAGACAACCATCACCAGCATCCTACCTCTCCTTGGAGACAACCATCACCAGCATCCTACCTCTCCTTGAAGACAACCATCCTACCTTTCCTTGAAGACAACCATCCTACCTCTCCTTGAAGACAACTACCACCAGCATCCTACCTCTCCTTGGAGACAACCATCCTACCTTTCCTTGAAGACAACCATCACCACCATCCCACCTCTCCTTGGAGACAACCATCCCCAGCATCCTACCTCTCCTTGAAGACAACTACCACCAGCATCCTACCTCTCCTTGAAGACAACCATCCCCAGCATCCCACCTCTCCTTGGAGACAACCATCCCCAGCATCCTACCTCTCCTTGAAGACAACTACCACCAGCATCCTACCTCTCCTTGGAGACAACCATCCCCAGCATCCTACCTCTCCTTGAAGACAACTACCACCAGCATCCTACCTCTCCTTGAAGACAACTACCACCAGCATCCTACCTCTCCTTGAAGACAACTACCACCAGCATCCTACCTCTCCTTGAAGACAACTACCACCAGCATCCTACCTCTCCTTGAAGACAACTACCACCAGCATCCTACCTCTCCTTGAAGACAACCATCCCACCTCTCCTTGGAGACAACCATCCCCAGCATCCTACCTCTCCTTGGAGACAACCATCCCCAGCATCCTACCTCTCCTTGAAGACAACTACCACCAGCATCCTACCTCTCCTTGAAGACAACTACCACCAGCATCCTACCTGTCCTTGGAGACAACCATCCCCAGCATCCTACCTGTCCTTGGAGACAACCATCCTACCTCTCCTTGGAGAAGGGGCGGTTGGGTAGCCTAGTGGTTAAAGCGTTCGCTCG